GGACACTTCACCGGGTTCCAAACACCAGTATATATTTACTGTTGTTTCTCTCTCTGCCTGTCTCTCTCTGTTTCTGTATGTCTGTCTGTCTGTCTGTCTGTCTGTCTGTCTGTCTGTCTGTCTGTCTGTCTGTCTGTCTGTCTGTCTGTCTGTCTGTCTGTCTGTCTCTCTCTCTCTCTCTCTCTCTCTCTCTCTCTCTCTCTCTCTCTCTCTCTCTCTCTCTCTCTCTCTCTCTCTCTCTCTCTCTCTCTCTCTCTCTCTAAACTAAGACGAGGGTTCATTAGGGCTCTCGATTAAAGTTCATAGTGACACTACAACCAAGTTCTGTTATCCTTTCTCAGCTCATCTGAAGCCTGCTCCTAGAGACTCTTTATTTCATGAGAATGTTCTTTGAAACTGATTAACTATCATATAAAGGAACAGTTACCTGGTGAAACTGAAAGTATAGAGCTGTAATCCTACCTCTGCTCAGATGAAACTCGCCCCTAGAGACCCACTGATTTATTGAGTTTATTAGATGCATCATTAGGAACAAAATTAACAGTAAGTAACAATCATGTAAGGAAGAGACTGAGCCTGTAGCCAACTGTGTGCCAGAGCCTTCATGTCTGACCTGCAGGATCTCCCGTGTGTCAACTTGTTGAGAGAACCAGTTCCAGATGTGAGTCAGCCTGGATGCTCACTGATGGAGTGATGTTCTTGAGAAAGACACTTCCAGCATGAGACTGTTGAAGGTTGAGAGTCTTGTGATACGGCCGCCAACAACTTTCTGCCCGCAAAGTTGGGCCAGGTGCGGAACTTTGAGAATGTTGGTGTTGTACATCACAGTAAGACCACCAACGTCACGACGGTGTTGCAGGCTCTGATGGTCAGACCCTTCCCACCAGACTTGGTCAAGACTAGGGATAGGGAGGGAATTATCAGGGTTAAGCGCCAAGCCATTACGACTATATATTGGCTCGGCGCTTTCCCCTAATAATTCCCTCCCTCCCTCTAATCTTTACCAAGTTTAGAGATGAACCTCTTTCTATCTTTTCGATCGACGCCAGTTTATATTAATATTAAAATCACTTTGAGGCAATAAAGGGACTTGAAGTCGCGACCTGGTGATTCCCAGACGACTTGGCCACGGAGGTACGGCAGTTGACCAACCCAGAACTCTACTGAGTCCTCTGGGATCTTTTGGAGGCCCTAAACCGGGGCCCAACCAGGGTTTACTAGCCAATCCGACCATTACCATAGGCCCGAGTGTGGTCGGGTTGGCTAGAAAATCCCTGGTGGGGCTTCCAGAACCTCCCAGAGGACTCAGTAAAGTTGTGGGTTGGTGAGCTGTTGTACCACCGTGGCCGAGCGGCTAAGGCAGTCGTCTGGGAATCACCAGGTTGATAGTTCAAGTGCCTCAAGAATTCATTGCCTCAAAATGATTTTAATTGACATATCACGCCATTGTGATTTCTTTGTGGCCAGTTTATTTTATTCTTCAAATTTACATCTCGTCAATCTAATTTGATGCCAGATATATTGTGAATGTTTCTCAGAGCCGTAAACGGACGCTGTCAGACCCTTCTCTGGCTCTCTACGCCTGTCACAATTGTAAGGTTTTTCGTAAATTGATACAGCTTCTTAATCTCGATTTTAAGATTATAACGATTGTAATTAGTGTGTTAGTTGTTATTAGTGTGATTTTCTCTTACGTAATTAATGTAGCGGAATTTTGTGTAAACAATTATAAATGTACAACATTTATTAAAAACAATTTTTTTTGTGGGGTGGGGAGGGCGGGGAGGGGGGGGGGAGGAGAAGTTCTATCAGACTTTCTTCATACTCCGTCACTCACAGTTCTGAGAGGAGGGAGGGAATTATCACAGGAAAAAGTGCCAAGCCATTACGACTATATAGCACTTGTAAAGGGTCACTTGTTAGATATCTAACACTTGTTAGATAAAAGCACTTGTTAGATAACGATTTGGGATGAGACGGGGGAGGGGGGGGAGACGGGGGAGGGGGGGGGGAGACGGGGGAGGGGAGGGGGAAGCAATGGTGTCCAACCACTTGGACGGTCGGGAATTTATTTATTTAATATTATTTTTTTGCAGGTATATGCCTGCGCGGGCCCTAAGCCTCTGGCTGGCCCACTGCGCGGGCCCTAAGCCTCTGGCTGGCCCACTGCGCGGGCCCTAAGCCTCTGGCTGGCCCACTGGGCGGGCCCTAAGCCTCTGGCTGGCCCACTGCGCGGGCCCTAAGCCTCTGGCTGGCCCACTGCGCGGGCCCTAAGCCTCTGGCTGGCCCACTGCGCGGGCCCTAAGCCTCTGGCTGGCCCACTGCGCGGGCCCTAAGCCTCTGGCTGGCCCACTGCGCGGGCCCTAAGCCTCTGGCTGGCCCACTGGGCGGGCCCTAAGCCTCTGGCTGGCCCACTGTGCGGGCCCTAAGCCTCTGGCTGGCCCACTGCGCGGGCCCTAAGCCTCTGGCTGGCCCACTGGGCGGGCCCTAAGCCTCTGGCTGGCCCACTGGGCGGGCCCTAAGCCTCTGGCTGGCCCACTGCGCGGGCCCTAAGCCTCTGGCTGGCCCACTGGGCGGGCCCTAAGCCTCTGGCTGGCCCACTGCGCGGGCCCTAAGCCTCTGGCTGGCCCACTGCGCGGGCCCTAAGCCTCTGGCTGGCCCACTAAGTGTTGCTTGCTTCTGTTTTACTTGGGCGGAGTATGAGTATTTATGACTCGTATGGTCGCTTTAGTAAGATTTTGCCCAATGTGTTTAACAACTTCTGCTCTGTTGAATCTTAGTTGAAATCTTAGTGGGTTTGTAACACTGCACTGTGTTAGATAAGGTCGGGGATTGAACGACGACCTGTAAGAAGCGAAACCATCGCTCTGTCGTCCAACTTAAGTGGTTGAATTCTGAGAAGAACCGCTGTACCTTTTCAAGTTTCTTTGTGGTTTTGAGATGAGGGCTTCCATAATGGGGCTGCATATGCTAAGACTGGTCTCAAGTAGGTCAAGGCGTGATCTAAATGCCTCCTTATTAGGTTCCTGAATGTTCGTATGACTTGCCAGGGTAGAGTGTGGTGTTGTTATCCTCACTATATGTGCCTCGGGAGTTAGGCTTGGGATTTACCCATTCCCGGATCTTTTTCCCTAGTCGTTACAGGGAGATAGTAACGACTTCATTGTGTATCGCTTGTGTATTTTTTGGTTTGTGATCACTTTTGATTTGCTGGTGTTGACACCCAGAAGACATTTTTCTGATCAACTTAGCAGCCTGTCTTAGTCTTCTTGAATATCTTACAATCCTCATCTGTCTCGTCTCTTCTCATGAATTTTGCATCGTCTGCAAACATTGACATATATGACTCAACTCCTGTAGATAGGTTATTAACATAGCTGAGGAATAGTATGGGTTTCAGTGCCAGTCCTTGATGTACTATGCCTGTAACCATGCGCCACTCAGACATCTCGCCCATCACTTTCACTCTCTGGCTCCTGTCTGTTGGGCAAGTTCCTCTTGCCCATATCAGTATGCTTCTGTTTACTTCCTTCTACCTCTCAAGTTTGTGTGGTACTGTGTAAAAGGGTTTTTGGCAGGCCAGAAATGCGTAATCTGTCAAACCTTCTCTGTCCTGCCACACCGTGGAAACTACAGTGTAGTTCCACACACAGTTCCTTTTCATTTCCCAGGTGTTCTCATTCCCTTTTTTCGTATTATAGTCACTTTGTCATGCACTGTACTTTTTCTTCTTATGTAGTTGTGTAGTAGCTTAGAGTGTTGCTTAGTTTTGGAAGTAATGTAATCTTCATTTGTTTTTTTCCTGAGACTCTTCTTAAGTTTATAAACCCGTTCCTAGCTCTGCTGCAGCTACTCTGGCTTTCTTTTATCCCCTGAATTAGTCCACTCCCTCCGGCTTTTCGGATTAGGTATGTGGCATTGTCTGTTGACTCGTGGGTTGCTCCATTCTCTCATACTCATTTAATTTATTGTTGGTATGAATCTTTCTTCTACCTCTTTTGACGTGATCCATTATTTCCTTGACTGTCTTCCCTCTAAGTTCTTCCTCTCATTGCACATTTCCCAGATACTGTCTTATCACAATAGTCTCTGTCTCGCGGCATTTCATGTTGGAAGTCCTGGATGTCTTCTTCATTCTGTGTGAAGATCAGGTCCAGTAGACTAGGTGCGTCTCCTTTCCTCTCCCATCATTATGTGTTGTGTTATGAAGTTCCACAATTTTTTAATTCTACATTTAATTTCAAAAACGGATGTTTCTAGATTTGATTTAGGTCCCTCATGACTAGTAGTTTAGGTCGCATTCTGTATGCTTCTGATGCTGCTGCCGTCTTGCAGTTCATCTATGTATACTTTGTCTGAGTCATTGTATTCCTGTCCCTGCTGGGGGTTGTATATTATCACGACCACTGTCACTTTACATCCACTGTCTGTGTTCCCTGTGATATGGTCTGTGTATCCAGTTGTATTTCCATCTTATAGGTCTTCTAACTTTTGTTTTACAAGGAATGCCACTCCCTCCTCTATGTCATGGTTTCCTTTCTTTCCTTATTACTTGGTATTTGCTTGGAAATATTGTATTAGAAATGTTATAATTCATTTTGGTTTTCACAATTGCAATCATATCGGGTACTTTTACACTAACCCTTCGTTTTATTTCTTCTGCTTTGTTTGTAACTCCATCTGCATTAGTGTGGCATATGTGTGTGTGTGTGTGAGAGAGAGTGCGAGTCGCCCAGTGTGCATCAATTAATATTGCTTTTCTCTGGTTTATTGAACTTCACTTTAAAAATTATACTTTTTTCCTGGAGCTTTCAGATATATTTTATGTTGTGTAGGTCTTTTGTAATGATAATTGTGTAAACCACAGCATTTATATTTTTGCTTTTGAGAACTGATAGACTAATAATTTTCGTAACAATATTTTCATTAAATACTTTCATATTTTCCTCTTGTTACATACAAAATAAAGACATACATAATTGGATAGATAAAATGCAATATTCCCAGCCATGTATTTATTAATACAATATATTCTGATACAGATCCATACATACATCCTGCGACATTTGCAGTACACAAGGAGTTAAAGTAATGTATTTGAGTGTGAACTAATCTAAAGAAATCCACACATTAAAATTCCTTTCCCTGTCAACCGGCAATGGTAATGGTGAGCAGTGGTAGGTAATCTTTAAAGGAAGATAAGAGTGGGAAAAGGGTCAAATATTGTGTGGCCTTTCGCTATGTATCCCTCGACGGAATATTGACTGAACCCTCGGCCGCATAAAAAGTCATCTATGTATAAAAATAAATACCCAACGGGGTTAACTGTAGAAGCTTAAGTCAGGTGGCGGCTGGAGACCATTATAGGGCGAGGGAGAGAGTGGAGGGAGCAACGTGTGACAAGTTATACCCAGGCTGTTCTTGTTGGCTCTATGTGTGTGTGTCTGACTCTTTGTTGTTTCCGCTCGGCGCGATGGTGTGCTCCCGAGATGTGGGTAATGAAGTGACACATGTCACCCCCTCTTGCCCTCTGTCACCCCTCCCTGATGTCCTTGTGACACTACAATAACCTCGCACTAAGAATATTAGCCTCGTACAAACACACAACAGAAAGGAAGAAACATAATAGAGAATTAGTCGATCAAAAGACGATACACAGTGAAGATGGAAGTATCGAGGGATACCCGGATCTCTGGGGATGGGAGTGTTTGAAGGGCACTGTCTTCACCGGGAATACAGTGCCAGGCCACAGGTCGTCCTCAATATGGTGGTGTGGGTTGGTTGTCGGGTCATCTCTCTACATGAACATGTTGCGGCCCAGGAGCTGCAACAACACCACAAGAAACTTTATAAGAATTTAATAAAATGACTAAGAATGCAGTATATATATATATATATATATATATATATATATATATATATATATATATATATATATTTCTATTCAATCCATAAACTATATGTTTCATTGATAGACACTTAAAGAACTAGAGTAACTTGTGTATGCGAGCAAAGGGTAAACAAGACAGTGTAGAGACAGTTCCATGCTACGACCAATACTTACTCTATGCCACTAACTTGGTACTTAGAGCTGCTGAAACAGAGGGTGACAAGGTATTAGCTAACAGTTTATCACATGCTTCTCTACTATAAGACCACAACCATATACGGTAATACAGATTTTTCTCACTGCGAGAGATATACAAAAAAACATTTCATTCATATGTTTATCTACAGTTGCAGTCTGCTAAGACAGGAGAAGTATAAACACTGGTTTCATCTGAATATGAAGAATAATGATGATGGGGCGTGTTAAATGTTAGTGAAGTATGAGTGGAACTCATGCGCTGGGTTAGTGTTGTTGAGGGAGACACTCACAGCTAGATGGGTTACTTCTGGGAAATGTGAGACAAGTTGAGGTGGCTTTTTTAGTGTTTTGCAATGTAATACAGGTAGAGGTCACTAGGTTAGTGATATACGTGACATACAGGTAGAGGTCACTAGGTTAGTGGTATACGTGACATACAGATAGAGGTTACTGGATTAGTGGTATACGTGATATACAGGTAGAGGTCACTAAGTTAGCGCTGTACAGTGCCATACAAGTAGAGGCCGCCGCCTTCACAAGCTACCATGCATCACCATTCCTGGACCTGCTCCAACAGCACAAGATTAACTTGTTGAGTTTCTTTGTTATGAGTTATCGCGAGTGTTATCAGTGTGTATTTCTCACTGGAGGTTGTGTGCAGCAGTTTATTTGAAAATGTTATGATTGCTATTGGAATTTGTAATATATATATTATTGTTGTTGTTATTACTATGATTAGCCATGTAATGCCTCCTCCAGCTCCTGCTGGGCCTTGCGGAATTTGGCCAAGTTAAGGGCAGCGATCTCTTCAGCTTCTTCGATCTGGCGCTTGTAAGTCTTGATCTTCTGCTGGAGCTTGTCGACAAGGTCTTGCATCCTCTCGTGGTTCTTCTTGTCCTCATCGGACTGGAAGGTGAGCTCCTTGATCCTCCTCTCACACTTCCTCAGGTTCTTCTGGGCATCGGCGTGACGGCGGGATTCGTCATCCAGCTGGCTTTCCAGCTCGCGAACGCGGCTTTCCAGTTTACCCAAGGCCTTCTTGCCAGTCTTAATTGCGTTAGTTTCGACTTCCTCGAGGCGAACTTGGAGCTCCTTGACGGAGACTTCCAAGGCCTTCCTCATCTTCTCTTGAGTCTGCGCGTGTTCCTGCTCTGCGCGGAGCTCGTCAGCCAGGCGCGCAGCGTCAACCATGGCCTTCTTAGCCTTTTCCTCGGAGTTCTTGGCCTCGTTCAACATCTCATCCAGGTCAGCCTAAAAATTTTAAAGAAAATATATATATATGTACAAAGATACCACATTTATGCTTCATATGTAAGTGCCATTGAATACACATTATATATTAATACACCTGCAATAATTATTGTCAGTAATATATACATTATAAGCTTATTTGTTCTATTCATAGTGGGTTATTTATGAATTTAATATTTTCGTATATATGTTATTTTGTTGTGTACGAATGTCACAAAAGAACGTAATATGTATGAATAAGAAACTTACATGCAGAGTCTGAATCTCTCCTTCCAGCTTCCTCTTGGCAGCAGACAGTGATCCGTTCTGGGCAGCAAGCCCAGCAATGCTTTCAGTGGCTTCAGCAAGTTCAGCTTCAGCCTGGCGACGGCCGCGGTCAGACTGTTCGAGAAGAGTACGGGACTCCTCCAGCTCCCCGTGTAGAGCGTTAGCACGGCGCTCTGAGATACCGTACTGTTCCCGGTACTCTGAGGCCAGCCGCTGCTCCTCCTCCACGCGGGTCTGAAGGTCCTTCATGTCACTCTGGAGCTTCTTGATGTGCTTCTGCAGGTCTGCGTTGGCCTTGTTGGAGTGGTCAAGAGCGATTTCGAGCTCGTTGATGTCGGACTCCAATTTCTTCTTCATGCGAAGAGCCTCGGCCTTGCCCTTTGCTTCAGCTTCAAGGGATGCTTGCATGGAATCGATGGCTCGCTGGTGGCACTTTGTCAACATAAGGAAAGGTGACTTAATATGAAAAAGCTTTAATACCCCTACTTTATACTAGAATTATATTTAATGTAAACATGTACTGTATAATCATGCATTTTGGTTCGTTCTAACAAAGCTATTATTCTATTAAACATTTTACTCAGTAGATGATACTAAAATTTAGCAGATTTTTTATAAATTCATACCCCTAAAAATAAAGTTGCTTACCGGGTGTTGTCGAACTCTTCTTCCTTCTCTTGGATTCGCCTGTCGATTTCCTGCCTAACCTGGCTGAGCTCTAGCTGAGCTCGGAGCACTTTGTTTTCCTCCTGCTCCAGGGCAGCCTCGGCCTCCTCAAGAGCGGCCTGCAGTTCTTCCTTCTCAATTTCAAGGCGCTTGCGGTTCTTTTCAATCTCGTGCAGGGATCGTCCACCCTCGCCGATCTGGTCCATAAGGTCCTTGATCTCATCGGCAAGATTCTTATTTTCACGACGAACCGAGTCGAGCTGCTCAAGATTTTCCTCATACGCGGCCTTCACGCGGAAGAGCTCGGTGGAATAATTGCGACATTCCTTCTGCGAAGCGTCAAGTTCGGCGGCAAGGTCATCAACCTTCATCTTCCATTCCGAAATGATCTTATCGAAGTTCTTTTGCTTCTTTTCAGCGGCGTTGGCTAGGGTCTGGGCACGTTCAACCTCAATCTGCATATCCTCAAGCTCAGTGCAGACACGCTGTTTGGTCTTCTCCAGATTCATGTTCTTGACATTAAGCTGTTCGATTTGTTGTTCGGCTTCTTCCAAGCGGGCAGCAAGCTTCAGACGGGCAGCCTCAAGCTCCTCCGCTCGGGCAACACCCTCAGACTCGTACTTAGCGCGCCACATCTGGGCCTCGGCGTTAGACTTGGAGAGTTGACGCTGGAGGTCAGCCTTCCCCTCGCCCTCCTCATCAAGCTGTTCCCGCAAGCCATCAATGTCGTGTTCCAAGTTGCGGAACTTTCCAAGAAGAGTAGCACGTTCCTGCAAGGAAAACATGGTTAAGGAAATACATAGTTACGAGTACTGCATATGACGATTTAGGTCTGAATGTGTTATACATATACTGCATATGATAGATTCGAAACTTACTCTGCTTTCGTCGTCAGCGAGTTTCCTCTGGTCTTCAAGCTGGTTGGTAAGTGACAGCTTAAGCTTAGAAAGCTGTCCAATCTGGCTCTCAGCTTCCTCCACTTGGCGCAGAAGATCAGAGTTCTCAGCAGCGAGCTTCTTCTTGGTGGCATCGAAGTCATTGAGGGTGCGGTTGGCTTCATCAAGCTTGGAGTGGATTTCGTTCATCTGGTGCTGGAGTTGCTTGTTAGTCTTCTCAGCAGCAGCCTGTATTTGAGAAGGCAACAGGTGGGGGCGGTAAGTTAAGTGGTCGTCTACCTGCCCTCAGATACTGCAGTCAGGGCCTTGTCCAACATCGTACAGGTCTGATGATATTCGAAGAATGTCGAATTTTAGTCTAAAAAAGATTGAGGACGGGGTACAATTTTGAAAAATACTTTCTTGCCCCAATGTATTGATCTGACTGCCAACTAGAAACTTACTAATTAAGTAATATTATTGCTTGAAGTAAAATAGCCCCATGAAGAAACCTCTTTGGCTTTCATGGCTTTTGCACGTGAATACCCAAGTCCCTGAACCTCACGTCGCACGTGGAAGATTTCTGTGGGAACGTCTTCACGTGTTATCCACTCCTGCTGGGGTCCTTGCAACGTGGCCAGCGAGGCCCTCAAATTACTTTATTATTTAAGGGGGTATTCCATTCTCGCCTTTTGCACTTCAATGTTTTAATTTACAAGGGGAATGGTAGACTTGAGGCCCCAGGTTACCAATGACCAGGAGCAGGTAACAGGTAAGATATGGATAGTGGGTACCAAAAGGTCTTCTTCCGCACTTCAAGTACATTCAGAGGAATATTTTGGTTGTTAATTATAACTCCTAGAGGAAGGGTATCTTCCATGTTAACCGGCCAGTATATACATATATATAATATATATGTGTATATATATATATATATATATATATATATATATATATATATATATATATATATATATATATATATATATATATATATATATATATATATAATACGTATTTTATATAAATTCCTGCAAGTCATTTGATCATATACAGAGGGAAGAATGCATGAACAAACGGGATAAGGAATTAAAACATGCACTTGGGTTTCTAAGCTATAGTGTACGATGAATTTCCTCATCTGTGGTCTGTCTGCTGCTCTCAGCCTAATTGAACATTATGTAGAACACCGTTCCAGCAGCAGAGAGAACGTCATCACCCGTTGTGTATCATCAACGCTCCAGACATCATCACGTTTCTCGACAACACTAACGAATGAGGGACACGTGTTCACATTTATATGATGAGAAGTGTTCAACAGTTTAAGCTTATTATTAACAGATACTGACATACAAATGATCGTACTGAACATGACGGTGTTGATAAACAGTCTAGACATTTCAGAAACAAATATTTCTCTAAATGTGATTATTCTTTCTCTATGAGAGGACACTGATGAAACCTAGACATTGCAAATAACAAGAGCCACATACCCCCTTCGTTAATTTCCTCTACATGACGCCATTGCTCAACATTCTAGACATATTTTAGTACAGATGTATCCACATTAACAAAGTCTTCATTAGCGTCCTAGACGTAAGAGCGCGCATCTAATCCTAGCACGAATGCTTGCTAATCAAGGCTGAGGCGTTGTGTTTACCTTGTCGGCGGCCATGTGATCTGTAGCAATCTTAAGATCATCAGCCTGATTCTGCAACTGACCCTTTTCCTTTTCAAGCCTGTTAGGATAGTTTGTGTTAGCAGTGGCAGAAGTTACATAGAAACAACACTGTAGAAGCGTGTCCGCCCGGCGCAATTTCATAATTTTATGGCTGGCGGCCTCTCCAGCGGGTCGGAGGAGGAGGCTTCCGTGAGTCTTGTGCCCCATCCATAAAATTTGGAAATTGTGGCCGCGGCCGCTTGAGAAATGTAGTGATTCATTAGTGTATGTTGGTGAGCCTCATTGAGTTTACCTTCTCGTTACTGAGAATATCAGCTGCAGACCGTGCATCATTGAGTTCCGACGAGAGAGTAGTCTTTTCGCGCTCCGCCCTGTGGTGGTTCAAGAGCAAATACTAGGCATTCTTCAGGAGAAACTTCTCCGAGGAATATCCAGATTTACTTGATAAGGGAAGGAATGACTAGATGAAGGGGAGACAAAAAAATCAAAGCAGAAACGAAATCTATGAGAAGCGTCCTTTAGCTTGTCAGCCAGGAGATGAAGGATTTGGGAGGGAGGACCGGTTGCCGGGGTGATGGCCAGCCAGCAACCCTAAACTAAGGGAAATAAAGAAAACCAGGTTCAAGCCGTGGAAATTAAGGGGTGACTAGTTAATTTTACCTTATCGCGAGCAAGCCCATCCATAGCAGCTTTAGCGTCATCAGCGTCACGTTTCAAGGAGTCCTTATCCTTCTCAACCCTACATGGGGGGACGGGTTATACACCACCAAATAAAATAATACCCTTGAGCAGCGCTTGGTTATCAGTTAGCAAAACGTGTATAATAAAAAAAAATAATGGTGAGCATAGGTCTACAGTTAGCACGGTTAGGTAACTTAAAATATTGCTGGTCTGTTGAACTATGAGAGAGCATCTGATTATTAATTAGAACTCGTGATGTCTCGATATTAATATGCTGAGATGATTATCCACAAGAAAGTATGATCATAATTATCATTATTCCATATGTTTTATTGAGATCTTTACTAAAGTTGATAACCTGTAACATGAAAAGCATTAGTTACAAACGCGTTACTGACCTGGCTTTCATTTTGTTGAGATGGTCGATTTGTTCAGACATTTCGGCGACGGCATCATTGTGCTTCTTGCGAAGGTTAACGAGAGCTCCCTCATGCTGGATGTTGGACTCCTCCAGATCACGACGGAGTTTGGCCAACTCAGCTTCGCGCTTCTTGTTCAGCTCGATCTGGGCAGCTGTGGCACCACCAGCCTCATCCAGGCGCTCGCCCAGCTCTTCCAACTCACGACCAAGGTGAGTCTTGGATTTCTCAGCTTTGGCACGAGCCTGGCGTTCATGCTCAAGCTCCTCCTCGAGCTCCTCAATGCGCGCCTGGAGTTCCTTGATCTGCTTCTGAAGCTTGGAAACAAGACCCTGCTCATCTTCAAGCTTAGATGCAAGGGAAGAAACTTCCTTGTCCTTGCGCTGGATGGTTTGTTCGAGCTCCTTCTTGTTGCGCTCTAGGTCTGCAACAGCTTCTTGTGTTAGTTTCAAGTCACCCTCGACCTTCCTCTTGGCCTTGTCAACTTCAGCTCGCAGCTTCTTCTCTCGCTCAAGAGAGTCTTCAAGCTCATCAAGAGTCTGCTCCAGTTTTGCCTTAACCTTATTAAGGTGGTTGCATTTGTCTTCAATACCTTGTAGGTCTTCGGCGGTTTTCTGGTTGCATTCTTGAAGGTGTTTCTTTTCCTTATTAATTTTATTGATGAGCTCATCCTGGTGGGCAATTTCATCATTGAGGTTGCGGATCTGGTGATCCTTGGTTGCCTTGTCCTGCTCAGCCTTTTGAACTGAGAGTTCAAGGTCCTCAATATCCTTCTTCAGTCCACTGAGTTCTTGTTCTATCTTCTTCTTACTCTGGAAAAGCTGATTGCGGGCTTCCTCCTCCTGCTGCAGACGTTCCGTGGTTTCCTGAGGGTGGGTAAGATGTCTGAGGTCACCATTCCGTAATCATAATCATAGCTTATTTAGAAAGAACACGATCACAGAACACTAATACACAAACACTGCTAAAACTATCGAACACGACACTAGGGTTTAGGAAATCGTGGTAAGTCCTACCTCCACGATGGAGTGGGGAGCGTATAAGGAACCCATGGTGGCTACAGCTAGAGTTTACAGGGGAAGTGAACAAGGGGAGGGGTAGGGGCTACTCGTTACAGATCGTACACAAGACCACAGAGAGAAGCTGGGTCGTTCGTATGTCGCTGCCTGGGCCAGACTGGGCGTAGAAGCTGCCCTCAACCCCAGCTCAGTGAGGTTGACTCACGAGCCCACACCTGGCCCACCTCATCACCGCTTACGTAAACAACCCACCCACATCAAATTCTAAATTTATACCCCAATATTTTTGCAAACATTGGTTCCGCATTTCGCAAAAAAAAAACCTTCGCGAGTGTGGGCAAATGCCAATATTGAAATTAGAAATATTTGAAGGTAATCAGAGGCAGGTATGGGTGCAAAATTATACATGATTTCATACTTTCTTCTGCATACTTGTTTACCTGGGGAGCTAAATAGAGCAGTGGGAGGTAACTCGCAAGGGGCGTTGAAGTGACGATGTCTGTAAAGGAGCGCTTGAGTGGGAGGGAGGGAGGGAATTATCAGGGGAAAGCCCCAAACCATTACGACTATATAGCACTGAGAAGGGGTCAGGATAAGGACTTGGGATGGGACGGGGGGGGGGATGAAATGGTGCCCAACCACTTGGACGATCGGGGATTGAACGCCAACCTGCAAGAAGCAAAACCGTCGCTCTACCGTTCAGCCCAAGTGGGAGTTTTAGATATCTTGCCTCTAACGAGGTTACTTGGAATGTATATTTAGCAAGTTAGAGGTTTTGGAAAATTTAGTTGCAAGTAGGTATTTTTAGCGGTACTTACGTTGAGCTGGGCCTCGAGGTCTGCCTTCTGACTCTGAAGTTTGGCTTGTTTGTCTAGATATTCGGATACGTTGCCCTTGGTCGACTCTAGAGCAACCATGAGATTGTTCTTCTCCTCGAGAAGAGCAAGATTGGCGGCCTCGAGTTCCTTACGAAGCTTAGCCTCGCGTTCGAAGTTTGCCTCAGCCTTTGCAGCTTTCTCCTCGAGAGCGCGGATCTCGTCCTCGATACGGGTGACATTGAGGAGGGGCTTGACCTTCTGCCAGAGACGGTACCAAGACCAGTTGCGGAGGAGCATGAACTTCCTCAGGTTGCGCTGGACGACAATGAGGGCGACTCGCTGTTCCTGCAGTTTCTTGTACGCCTTGCGGCTGGTGTAGCCTCGGATCCAGGACTGCAGCCACGAGATGATCTTGGCCAGACGGTCGTCACGGATCTCCTCAAGAGCGCCCAGAACACCGGCACGGAAGAACACCTAGTGGTGGGGGTTAAAGCTGGCGTTATCACCAGAATTCGAGTCGCAAATACTTATCTAACTTTTGAGCTAATTTACCGTCAAATGATTCAAAATGTTTATTTTTACCTCTAGTTTATTTTCATTTAGTTTAAATCTCTGGTGATAAAGCCGAAACATAATTTTTTTGAATGTGAAATTTTAATACGACTTTCTAAAGCTGAAAACGAAGCATGACATTCTGAAGCTGAATTTGAAACTGGTCTTACTGAAGCTGTAACATAACTTACTGAAGCTGAAACTTTAACATGACTTACTGAAGCTGAAACTTTAACATGACTTACTGAAGCTGAAACTTTAACATGACTTACTGAAGCTGAAACTTTAACATGACTTACTGAAGCTGAAACTTAAACATGACTTACCAGCTGAGCTAGAAAGCGAGAAACCCAATATCTAAGAGCGCACTCGAGGCGGGATGAACGGGGATCATCATTCACAAGAAGTGTGAGAGCGGGAGCTCAGAGGGAGATGACAAGGACGGGATGCTGCCGTGCCTCGCTAAATGTGATGAGGCGGCGGACACAACTCATAACCCAGACTCACCGTCTCACCAGGACGTGGTTACTCATCGCTTTGGTGTGACGGATGACTCAACACATGCTTTTTTTTTTTGGTGGTAAAGGTTAGGGGAGATAATATATTGTGGGATAAACACTACCGATGGTCACAGTGGGGTCAAGTTGGAAGGATTATAATTTATCAGGTCGTGGGGCGTAAAGGTTTATAAGTGGAGAACATGTTGTAAATGCTGGAGAGACAGAGAACGGAACACTAATTTAGGATGGAGAACTACTGAAGAAAACAGGATTTCTCACCAGAGGATGAGGGAGACAATAAGGGCGGGATATACGTTTCTGGTTCACATATTACGGTTCTTCTTACTATTATCTATGCATAATAGCACTGTCTTGGTACAAAGGTGACCTCTACGAGTTAGACGATTGACGTTCTCATCTGTATCGCATGCTTTAACTAATCTATTCTATTATCACTCTCGCACATACGTGTTGTCAGTCTACGAGTAAGTCAACAGTGGTGAGGCATAGCGTGCATGGGCGTCTGGTGCGCCCTAACGTGGGAGGACCAGGTGAGAAGGTTGGGAGCCAGCAGCTGCATGTGGCACGGCCCACTTGTCCTCACACCTGGCTGCTGGGTCGTCCTGTAGCCACGCACCAGGCGTCAGTCTGGCACACCGGTGCCACGCACCAGGCGTCAGTCTGGCACACCGGTGCCACGCACCAGGCGTCAGTCTGGCACACCGGTGCCACGCACCAGGCGTCAGTCTGGCACACCGGTGCCACGCACCAGGCGTCAGTCTGGCACACCGGTGCCACGCACCAGGCGTCAGTCTGGCACACCGGTACAGGACATGAAGAAGACACCACAAACATGACTAAGTAAATAAACACAACTACACAAGAAGCAACGAGAAGATCGGGCTGAGGTACACTACGTATTTAAGAGCAAACTAAACAAAATACAAATAGTGTTATTTAGCAGTAGTGAGGCAGTGGAGGCGGGATATGAGGAACTACTCTATAAAAAGCTTGGTGATGGGGTGCGGCGCCGGAGGGGGGCGGAGCGCGGGAGACATGCCTTGGTGTGCCCCATGCGAAACTTCTCCGCCTCCAGGTTCACGTCGGTGAGCAGTTCCAGGGTTGCTTGCTTGTCATCCTCACAATTTCTGGTAACTTTAGGATTGAGGATGTTGTATCTAGGGATTTTGAAGAGGAGACACAGTAAGTGTTCGTGTCAAGGAACACGACTACAAACATGAGATAGAGAACACGATGTAAAGGGATGCGTACATGCTAGTTTTAAAATATTAAAGGCTTGAGGTATTCAGACTTCAGGGCGGGTCCTCACAGCCAAGTCTCATGAATGAGGGAGAACAATACAGGAACTTGTCTTTATAGTACCTGATAATGGGAGTACAGTGGTGAATGACACAGTAGGACGGTGGGATACCTTCTGGGAAGTATTCACTCCCAGAAGAAAAGGAGGAGAAAAATGGACACAATGAAATATGATGGGAAAATATTGAGGGGCTAGTCTAAGACATCGACAAGGCAAACACCCTTCCTTCGTTCCCTTCTGTGGGGGGAGGAGACATGCCTTAGTGTGGCCCATCCTGTACTTGTCGGCCTCCAGCGCGATTTCTTCCAGGATGACTTGACTCGCTTTCTTTTCATCCTCTGCAGCAGCGGCAAGTTTTGAGGCAAGGATGGAATATCTGTTGGACAGATTGTGGGCTGAAGTACGCGCCTCAGGGGGATATTTATTTATACCTTTATCCGATGGGTCGGAAAATAGTCCACAACACTATTTATCATAATGTAAACATATCTAGTCTAGTTTCGCGTACTTACTAATTCCTAATAGACGCTAGTTTACGACATTTGCTATTTCCTAATATATACTATTGACGATAACTACATTTGGAAACAAGTGCCAACTAACCTATATAAATAATCCCGAACGGACTAAATAAGTCGCGACAGAGTCACTGGCTGCCTTGAGGATGCATCATATCCGGTCTAGCTCACTCCGCTTGTGTCTTTGTGCGGACACACGTCTCCGTGCCAAGGGAGGAACACACTTACCCACGTGTCAACTGTATACCATGCACGCCAGCTACAGCACCCTCTCCTGTGCCAGGTGAGTCCACTACGGGCTCACCCTAGCCCGTGCTACTTGGAACTTTTGTGGTCCTGAGTAGCTGAATCTAAGACAACAACAACTTTTGTCATGCACCAGTGAGGGAGCGGCCGCGGCTCCCACAACACAACCCAGGGAGACGTGCCTTTGTGTGACCTAATCTGTATTTATCAGACTCGAGCTCGATGATCTCAAGGATGACCCTTGCTGCCTCCTTCTCGTCTGGGGCTGCTGCCGCGGGTTTGGACGCTAAGATACAATATCTGATAAGCGAAGAGAGTAGAGAGAGAGAGAGAGAGGTTAGAGAAGCTGATTGTGTTCTTGGGGCGAGGGAGGGGGAAGGTGACGTGTGAGGGGGCGGGGGAGGGAAAGTGACGTGTGAGGGGGAGGAGGGAAAGTGACATGTGAGAGGGGAGGGAAAGTGACATGGAGGAAAGGGGAAAGTGATGTGTGACGGGGAAGGGAAAGCGAGCTGTAAAGAGAGAGTCAAAGAGATGTGAGGCGGAGACTCTCAGTATTGGGGGGGGGGGGGGGGTAGTGTGGGGATAGACCAGCCCGCGGGTAATGAAAACACTTGACAACTTCAGAAGACAGTCGTCATGAAGAACACGAAGCTAACACAGAATACCCTTTGTGCTCCATCAACACACAAGGGACACGTGGACACATACATTTAATAAGCAGACTGGGAATAAGAGAAACATAGTAGTATTGACAGATATTGGCTCAAGACAACACTCAACGCCACGGCTCCCAGACCAACGCCCCCTGGACCGTGGGTGTACATAGGGAACATGGGTGTACATAGGGAACATGGGTGTACATAGGGAACATGGGTGTACATAGGGAACATGGGTGTACATAGGGAACATGGGTGTACATAGGGAACATGGGTGTACATAGGGAACATGGGTGTACATAGGGAACGTGGGTGTACATAGGGAACATGGGTGTACATAGGGAACATGGGTGTACATAGGGAACGTGGGGGTACACAGGGAACATGGGTGTACAAAGGGAACATGGGTGTACATAGGGAACATGGGTGTACAGAGGGAACGTGGGTGTACATAGGGACCGTGGGCGTATACATGGAACGCTGGTGAACACAGGGAACGTGGGCGTACATAGGGAACGTGAACGTACACAGGGAACGCTGGAGAACACAGGGAACGTGAGGGTAGTCACGGGGAACTTGGAGAAAGATTGGTCAACCCGAAGAACATGGGGACATGAATGAGGAATTAACACGGGGAAACATAGTGAACAGAACAATGGCCTAAACTCAGTGACCATAATTAATGGAATGATAATGAACGCTTTAACCATGGTAAATGTGTCTGAACATGTGAAATGTGAGTGAACACATTGATCACGCACTGTTGAGTAAAAAATAACTCGGTGAACACGGTGAGTTGAACGGTTGAGTAAGCACAGCGGACCTAATGACTGTCACCATCAATGCAGTGAACAATCCATCAATGATGTGAACCCAGCTCTGTTATCAGGGACAGGAAGCCTGCGTGTATATATATATACTTTAGGTTTGTACTGAGATTCCCCTTCCCAGGGTGGAACTACTGAACCCTCCCCCAGGGTACAACCCCACAATAGATACCTAATTCCCAGGAACCTATTTACTGCTAGGAGGAAAGAGATGCATTGGGTGAAAGAAAACGTGCCTACCCGTTTCTGTTCCGATCGGGAATTGAATCCAGGATCCTTGATTGTAATTCAAGAGCGAAGCCAACTGTACCACGAGGGCATCGGGCGGTGCCCAACGTACCCGGGCAGGTGAATTAAACAGTTGTCTCTGTGATCAGGAGGCCTGTGATCGACCAGGCCTCTGTGTTCAGGAGGCCTGGTCGACGACCGGGCCGCGGGGACGCTAAGCCCCGGAAGCACCTCAAGGTAAGGTGATCGCTGCCGTGGTCGGAGCACTCTAAGTAACAGTGAAAACCATAGGTGAAGCAGCACAGGTAACAGTGAATACCGTAGGTGAAATTGCCCGCAGGCAACTGTGAGCACCGTTGATATTCTCACCGTGCACTATCTTATGGAATCATTTCACAAAGTCACTTAAGCTCTCGGAGCCGGGATCAAATGTTTAAAATATATGACCATTAACTGCCACTCTCGAGGATATTGTCAACGCGCTTTTCGGTATTAACGAAGTGGAACTTATAGTTCCGTAAATACTTTTACACAACGGCGTAAATTCATGTCATGAAGTGACAACATTCCTCGTGAGATAACTAAAAGCTATTTCGTATGTTTGTCCTCAGTGGTGAGGCGATTATGAGCCTGTGAGTAGATTTTAAATTAAAGTTTTCATACATAGTTCATAAATAAATGACGTTCATGCGGTATATATATTTTGGTATAGATCACTGTGTGTATGTGTCATACGATCAGTAACGCCTCTGACTGATTAATACAACCATGCCCTCTCACAGGCTCTTGCAACAGTGACCGACAAACTACGTCACAAGTTTTAATTCATAAATAAACTTACATACAATTCCTTTTATGATTTTTTTACACGCCAGTTATACGGACCTTCCCCGCTACAGTTTACGTCAAGTGAGGACCTCCCCAAGACGTGTTCCACGCCATCTTGGGACCAAGATGGCGTGGAACACCCCAAGACACTATCTACGCCATCTTCATATTTCCCCGACACGCTAACTACGTCTGCCTCTGACCTTCCCCGTCACTATTCCGTCTATTATTCGTCTAAAACACACGAGAATAACTCGAAGGCACAAAGGTGACCAAGTACTGGACCGCTACCCGAAAATGTGACGAAAATTAGTATAATTATCGGTGTTCGTCGCTCTACCAGATAGGTTTCTCACCTTCAGCAACTCAGGAAAACTTAAACCTACCTCAGGAGCCGTCAAGGGCTCTCAGGAGGACAGTAAAATATCAAACGAACATGCATAAGGAGAAGGGGCCCAACAGTAGATATTATATAACTTAAAAAATCACCATAATCGAACCAAATTTAAATTAATTAATAATAATATAAACAAAAATCATAATAAATGACAACACATTCAAGGGGAGAAATTGGCTCTGGTTAGAGAAGAGATATTTTGTCTTGTAGAGCTTCCACTCTGCTTAGAAAAGAGATACTCTGTCTTGCAGAGCTTCCACTCTAGTTAGCGAAGAGATAATGTCTTGCGTACTTCCACTTATTCATGCTAAACATTAGTCAAAAAGTGAATATGCGAAATGTGCGATTAATAAACAACTTGAGTGTGAAATTTGATGGACGTTTGCAATATATCTAAGAGCTGGTGTAAATTAATAAAGGAACATTAACACACCTTAACATATTTTCATAAATATTTTGCTTTGGACCATAGGTATGATGTATTTATTTCCCTAAACACAAAAGGGTTATGGGTAGAGTTACCAAGCCTCATTAGTATAGGGGGGTAGAAATGATCTAAATATTAAAACGTTAGGTGAAAATTTATCAAAATTTATTGGGTGACTGAATAGAATTACCAAAATATTAAAGGTAGAAAATGTAGAATTATCACAAAGGAAGAAGGGAATAACTGCCTACCAGCAAGTGCAGAAAAGATTGAAAACCTGAGTGCAAAAAGGTATAGAATATGAATATTTTAAAAACAATGGGAAGATGTTTAAGATTACCCTAACATAAATGAGAAGGAAGGAAGTCGGTGCATTAAAACAGTAATGTTTGGTAAATAATGTTACAATCGAGCACAACAATAAAAGTTGTTTCTTGTGAGCCTAAGAACAATGATGAAAAGAAGATGTCATGTTTTTGTTTTTAAAGTTTCAGATTAACGTTGTCAGTAAAAGGTGAGGATGAAGGTAATTAATAACCCAAAGGTGTGTTGAAGTCAGAGGCAAATGGCCACAGAGAAATTCGAACGCTCCCTGTCTCCAATGGGACGGTTTGTACACGGAAAACACCATAAAATAATATAAATTTTAGTTATCAAATCCAATCATAATGTTAGTGAAGCAATATTTGTCTTCGGCGACGGTGTTCCGACATGTCGCTGGTCAGCACCTGCTCGGGTAATTGAAATCAAATAATAATAAAATAGAATTGCGAAGTTATAGAGAAAACTTGTTATATTGGTCTGAGGCAGACTTGCACGCCCACATGCCTTGGTGTGACCCATTCTGTACTTCTCCTCATCCATCTTGATGGCGTCCAGGCACACCTTGGCGGCCTTCTTCTCATCTTCGGCTTCATTCATGGCTCTGGGAGCCAGGATCTTGTAGCTGAGGGAGTATCATGTCAACATAACGGGCAGTGTCACCACAACACACGCTCAACACTTTCTCTTTGAATTGAGTTCCACACATTAATAAGTCTTAGGATATTACCCATAAGATTTCATTACTAACTCGTTTGACCAAGTGAGTAGCAAGATGTTGTGATGCTTCATGAAGTCGTTGAAGCCTCGTACAACCAATACTCATCACACTTATTCTTGAACTAAGAATAACACAGAAATGTAGAATCCCACAAACTGTACCAATTTATGAATAAAGTCTTCATTCAGAAGTACAAAATGTTTGTTAAACAAACATTGAGTTACAGGAATATTTGTTTTTAAGCGAAGACTAATTTTGTATATAACACTTGGCACATATGCTTTAGGTGTTCTGTAAAGTGAAAGATCAATACCATGACATAAGGCGAAGAACAGTTAAGCTGTCGTGGCGGAGAGACGGGGCCCAGGAGCCGAGATACAACCTTAGGAATGGTACACAAGTTTGAACCACTCACCCATAATGTGGTTACATTTTGGTATCTGTTATTGAGTATATAATGCAATTTTGTAAATAATAAATTTACTTTTATACTTTAAGTTATATAAGTATTTGTTTTATGCACGCTGTGCGCCCCCAGCACGTGAAGCTGTGCACCCTGAGCACGTGAAGCTGTGCACCCCTAGCACGTGAAACTGTGCATCTTGAGCACGTAAAGGTGTGCACCCTAATCACGCGAATCTGTGCACCCAGAGCACGTGAAGCTGTGCACCCTAAGCATGTGAAGCTGTGCACCCTGAGCACGTAAAGCTGTGCACCCTGAGCACGTAAAGCTGTGCACCATAAGCACGTAAAGCTGTGCACCCTTAGCACGTGAAGCTGTGCACCCTAAGAACGTGAAGCTGTGCACCCTAAGCACGTGGAACATTATTCTGCCTAATAATTAATTTCTCATTAATGTACTTTTTTTTTAATCGCTGTCTCAAAGTTTTAATATTTATATGAGTGAATATGTGTGAAGGTGATCTTACCGATGCTTGAAGTCAGGATAGACCATCCTGTTGGGGAAGCCCTTGCGACAGATACGGATGCCCTCAAGCACGCCGTTACAGGTCAGCTGATGCATCACCAGGGCGGCGTCGATCACACCTGCCAGGGACCACAGCGCGGCATTAGTTGCAGTTACTCCAACCCCCCCCCCCCCTCTCTCGTGGGCCGGGATCTCCTGCGGAGGCCAGAGGGCTCCACTGCCTCGTCCGAGCTCTCACGTGGGCCAGGGGCTCTACTGCCTCGTCCGAGCTCTCACGTGGGCCGGGGGCTCCACTGCCTCGTCTGAGTTCTCACGTGGGCCAGGGGCTCCACTGCCTTGTCCGAGCTCTCATGTGAGCCAGGGGCTCCACTGCCTCGTCCGAGCTCTCACGTGGGCCGGGGGCTCCACTGCCTCGTCTGAGTTCTCACGTGGGCCAGGGGCTCCACTGCCTTGTCCGAGCTCTCACGTGGGCCAGGGGCTCCACTGCCTCGTCCGAGCTCTCACGTGGGCCGGGGGCTCCACTGCCTCGTCTGAGTTCTCACGTGGGCCAGGGGCTCCACTGCCTTGTCCGAGCTCTCACGTGGGCCAGGGGCTCCACTGCCTCGTCCGAGATCTCACGTGGGTCAGGGGCTTCACTGCCTCGCCCGAGGGAGGTGGCCACGACGAGGGGAGGGTGGCCGGGTTGTGGCTGACAGTACCCGCCAGCATGGACACTGTCCCACCAGTCACTCTGACGCACACTGGTGTACAGTGCCAGCGTCTGCGAAAACTGTTTTACAGAATCATAAAAGGTCACCTAATGAGTTTATTCTTTAAACTAGAAGTATTCAAGTTGGACTGTTTTGCCTTTATATGACAACGTTGTTTTGTGACCATTTAGAAGTATATAAAATCTAACTTGTAAAGTGCTTACGTTAATGGATGACCAAAAATTATACAATTCAAACTAATATTATTATGAGATATCGTAAGTCTGTAATAAAATAATATTGCATAAAGCTTAACTCTGGTTGTAATATCTTAAAGTAGCGTTAGTACTTGACAGAAACGTTTGGGTTAGCCAAGAGAAGAGATAAGAATGAGGTAATATAATGTGAAGACAGTGTGAGAGGAGAGATGAGGAGAGGTGAGAGTAGAACAGCAACATTTGTTAACGTGAAGTAACGCAAGAGACTAAGACTGCTGTGGGTGTTAGATGACCAATGTTGACCTTACCAGCCTCCTTCACTTCGTTAGGAATGATGCAACGCACGAAGTGAGGTTGAGTTTGTCTCAAGACAGCCATCAGGTTGTTAAGCTGTTCCTGAAGAATGAACAATAACAGACTAAGATAACAGCTACAGGGACACCAGAGCCCGTTGACTGGGAGGTGACACACAGCGGGTCACTGGCTGTCCCGGTGTGTGACCGCTCTAACACACACACACTACACACATACCCCAGTCACCTTCATCGGCTGGGTGTACAAACACCAATTTCACGTATATCTGGACGTTGGACATAAAACTAATAACATCTGCTTAAACACAGTAAAAAAAAAAGGGGGTCGGACACCACGACAAGGAAATGCATGTGACAGTATTGATTAACACATGTTTATTAAACTAAAGACATTATTTAGTTGGGAGTTTATATAAGCACGGAGAGCTGAGTATTCATCCAGTTAGTGTGGAGTTGTGAATACTTCATGGACACATGACAGGACGTCTAAACTAGAGTTGAACTAGCTATGTTTTCCTCGTACAATGAACGAGTGTTGAGGCAACTCTGGGACCTTACCAGCCGCCTTAATTTCATTAGGGATAATACAACGGATGAAATGTGGGGCTGTGCTCCTGAGGACTGTCATCAGGTTGTTGAGCTGCTCCTGAGGGCGGGAGGGAAACACATAGAGAACAACAGTCACCCTTCACACCATCATCTACCGGAGTCTGGCCATCCTCTTGGCCAGATCTTAATGTTGGGAATGTCTCAGGTCCCGTTGACACTACTACTAGGCTATCGTCAACTATAAGAGTTGGTATACATGTTTTGTCATGTTGAACTCTGGAAAAAATACATGAAGGTGACACTGGCGCCAGCTGGCGTGTGTCGGGACACTGGTGACTCTCGTGTCACGGTACGAGAGTCTTAAACACGAGCACAAGATGGGTCATGTAGGGACGTAGGGGGGATAGAACAGACATTTAACAATTTTACATAGGAATTAAGACCAGGAATTTTGTTAATAAGTTTGGCAGTAAAAACCTTGTTCAAGAAGGTGTTCTGATGCCAAATGTGTCTAGGTCAGTGAGGATCTTACCAGCAGCCTTCACTTCATTAGGGATGATACAACGGATGAAATGTGGGGCTGTGCTCCTGAGCGTAGTCATCAGGTTGTTGAGCTGCTCCTGAAGATGAGCGCACCAGCAGTTAGAAGGAAAATGATTTTGGAGACGGGGAGAGAAAGTGGGGAAGACATGTGGAAGTCCTCGTTCCAGTGGTAGTGGAGGGCGTGGGGAGGGGGTAAGCATGCGTGTCGGGGGGCCATATATATGGCTCTACTAGGAAGCTTGTCTTGTTCCTTTGAAGGGGCACTTTACTGTGTTCTGCGAACCTCCGTTCTAGAACGGTTCGAGATGGGAAAAAGGGGGCCACTTTGTCCTAAAACTGTTGTCAGGAGGGGGGGGGGGGATGCCACATTACAAAGTGGATTACACTTTCACTGGAGATTAACACAACCAACCTGCCAGTCCGGCCAGTATCATCCGTTTAAGTATGGTTTTTTTTATATGGGTGAAAAGTGGGGGAGAAAGACACACACACGTTTACAGACAGCACTCCTTGCAGTTGTGGTACTGAGGCTACCCTTGGAGAACATCACGCCACTGCTTGTGCACTTGTCGTACAGAGGTTCTGGGTGTCAGTGATCCATCATTACAAACAATCAAACTTTACTGGAGAAGGGGACTGAGAAGGAAGAAGTGTGGGCTACTTCTCCTCCCGTGCTACTGGGAAGGACACGGCTTGCATGTCCTCCTGGAGCACTAGGAAGGACACGGCTTGCATGTCCTCCTGGAGCACTAGGAAGGACACGGCTTGCATGTCCTCCTGGAGCACTAGGAAGGACACGGCTTGCATGTCCTCCTGGAGCACTAGGAAGGACACGGCTTGCATGTCCTCCTGGAGCACTAGGAAGGACACGGCTTGCATGTCCTCCAGGAGCACTAGGAAGGACACGGCTTGCATGTCCTCCAGGAGCACTAGGAAGGACACGGCTTGCATGTCCTCCTGGAGCACTAGGAAGGACACGGCTTGCATGTCCTCCAGGAGCACTAGGAAGGTCACGGCTTGCATGTCCTCCTGGAGCACTAGGAAGGACACGACTTGCATGTCCTCCAGGAGCACGAGGAAGGATACTGGTTGCATGTCCACCTTGGCTACTAGAAAGGATACGAGTACATCCTCCGGATGGGAGTTCTAGGGAGGACATAGATTACATGTCCTTCACCGTTGCTAAAACACGGGTTGCACAGTAAGGGAGGGACGGGGAGGGAGTCTTACCAGTCTGCTTAAACTCATTGGGGATGATGCAGCGGATGAAGTGGGGACATGTGCTCATCAAGGTGGTCATCAGTTTATTAAGTTGTTCCTGTAAATACACCATACCCAGGGAAAGAGGCCACAGTTAATTTTTAGATATATGTTGGACTGCATCCCTCAGAGAGAGAGAGAGAGAGAGAGAGAGAGAGAGAGAGAGAGAGAGAGAGAGAGAGAGAGAGAGAGAGAGAGAGAGAGAGAGAGAGAGAGAGAGAGAGAGAGAGAGAGAGAGAGAGAGAGAGAGAGAGAGAGGGATAGGACGGAGGATTTGTGGGGTAGGATAATGAGGAAGGGTTGTGAGGTAGGATTGTGAGGGGGAGTAGTGAGGCAGGGCCTGTCAGAATAATATGGAAGGAGCACATCTTGTCAAGGTGGAAGATAATACCTTAAACACTGTCCACGTACTTACTCCCCTGGAAAGGTTAAAGTCAATGTTATACACATAATGATAATTATGTTACAGAATTGTGAGGAATTCAACCATCTCACGCGGGTGAGACTCACCAGAACAAGTGCTAGTTACTTGTGAGGTGTGAGAGGGCTGCTAGTGTTTGCACTCTGGGTCAGTTACTTGTGAGGTGGGAGAGGGCTGTCACTCTGAGCCAGTTTAATTTAGTTCAGCACTCTTTTAAACTTGTTGAGAACAAGATATGAAACAGAGCAAGTGACGAGTTTGTGTCACCTCATTTAGGTGAAGGTCACGTCAGTTAGTCGTGGAGGAGTGGTCGTGTCACCTCAGGTAGGTGAAGGTCTCGTCAGTTGGTCGTGGAGTAGTGGTCGTGTCACCTCAGCTAGGTGACACGACGACACGACTTCAAGATCACGTCGAGTGATCTTGAAGGTCTGAATGTTACGCCTCAACTGGTAGTGAGGAAACGTTTACCCCCCTCACAAGACTCAAGGAAACGAACTATGGGCAATTAGTTGATGTTCGAAATTACTCAAAATACTACAATACTCTACCAAATTACTCTAAATATTTTAATACTCTACCAAATTATTCCAAATATTATAATATTCTACCAAATTACTCCAAATATTATAATATTCTACCAAATTACTCAAAATAATACGGTATTCTACCAAATTACTCCAAATAATACGGTATTCTACCAAATTACTCAAAAATAGTATGGTATTCTACCGAATTACTCAAAATGATGAGTAAATGTCTTGTAAATTAATAAGACGAAATCTCATTTAATAGATGGTCTTCTAAATTACCCAATATTTTACTAGTTTGCTCTTCAGCAACTTTAATATAAGAATTACATAACCGCTTTTGTTATATAAATACATCTTCGATAATCTATCATCTGTTTATGATGTCATTGTTCTGATATTCATCATAGCCAAGAGCACTGTTTTTCCTTCCAACTATATATATATATATATATATATATATATATATATATATATATATATATATATATATATATATATATATATGACAATGTCAGACCACGGAGGAAAAATGAAACAGGAATTTCCTTAAGTACTTTCGTATATTAATACATCTTCAGAAGGAGTCATCTCCTTTTGAAGATGTATTAATATACGAAAGTACTTAAGGAAATTCCTGTTTCATTTTTCCTCCGTGGTCTGACATTGTCACATTTTTAATCACGTGTTTATTTTCGTGATATACACACACACATATATATATATATATATATATATATATATATATATATATATATATATATATATATATATATATATATATATATATATATATATATATATATATATATATATATATATATATATATACACAGGGGGTTGGCACTAGTTACTCCATACTCAACCCGTCTGTGTTAGCCCTTAGTCTGTGGAGTCATTATTAATTTCAGTTTTTATCCATCATGGTAAACTAATTACCTTTTGTAGGAGAATTTTGTAAAGAGTAACGTAAACCTATTAAGATCAATACTTCTAATTTTAATACTGTATGCAATAAAATCATAGGACGGACTTAAAATTAAGTTACAAGGTTGTATTACAGGTTAAGTTGCAAGTGTTATTGTGTTATAATAAGGTTTATATACGAGTACATAACAATCAGCAGAGAACACTGATGCTCTGGCTGGGTGGGGGTGGGGGTGGGGGGTGGGGGAGAGGGGGGGGAGGGCGTGTTGTGTCAGTGTCAGAAATAGTAAAGATGACTTAACATGTTCTCACTTAACTCGTCTGCAACACAAATATGCTATACAAATGTAAAATCGTATGTGCGAGTATAACGAGTGGTAGGCTCTCCTGCTAGTGTTCAGAGTGTAATGGGTGTGTGTTGAGGGTGCCGGTGGGTGTTGAGGGTATCGGTGGGGTGTTGAGGGTGTCGGTGGGGTGTTGAGGGTGTCGGTGGGGTGTTGAGGGTGTCGGTGCGGGTAGAGGCAGTTGTCACAGGACGGGCGGAGGGGGGGAGGGAGATGGGGGCGGGGGTTCGCCTTGGGGGTGGGGGGAAGAAGACAACATAAGACAACATAAGCGCACCTCTAGGAAGCATATTTACCTTGTACAAGCCGGACACCGTCTGGAAGCCGGAACCCTTCGCACGTTTGCCGCCTGCAGGGAGAACACAGACATGGTTCACCTAAGCTGCAGTAGCTTTGCTCTACCGCAAGACAAAAGAACAATTAAGCCTTTGTAAACATGGTGTTAGCCGTCAGACGGATCACGCTGGAATCATTACAGGCAACTGTATTACACATCTGTTTCTAGAAAGCATCCAGCAACAACACACGCAGACTCGGACAAGACCAAACATGGAGGCATTCTACCAAGTGCCAGGCCGCTTAGACACGTTTCTGCAGTTTACAACACTGATCAATATTTACCCTGTAAAGCCCGGACACTGTCAGGAAGCCAGAGCCCTTCGCTCGCTTTCCACCTGTTGGTAGACAACGCTCTCATTATCCGTGACTAAGGACGAGAGATTCGAGCCTGATTCTTGCAGTGTGTCTACCCAGTCATGCCCTCGCCCTACTCAGGCCGGGGTCGTCTCATGTCACAAGTGAGACGACTCCAACTTTCTCACTCAAAATGAAGATATAAATCAAATACTTTTAAGCAATATAAGTTAAATAATCTGTATTGGTAAAAATGTCAGTAAAGTGGTGGTCAATGTAAAGTGTAAAGTTTAAGTGTAAAGTATAGAGGCGACATGCAGCAGTGGCAACTCCCACTGTGGGATACAAACAACTTTGTCCTGTCAAAGTATCCACATGTTTTATTTAAAAAATATATATATATGTATTCATGATAAATTAGTATTACTGGCAAATATTTTGGAAATGCTTCAAGGCACGCAAACTGTATGAATTTATTACTATTTGAGAGAAATAAAGAGACTCAAAATGGATACATTAGTCATAAAAAATACATTAGCCACAAAATAACTCATTAGTCTCGAAATCTTGATATATATATATATTAGTCTGAAAGCTCTGTGGAGGCTTCATCACGTTAATATATACTATATCATGACGAGCTAAATGAAGGCAAATAATTATACTGAGCTCCATTAAAGTATATACCAAAATAAGTCTGAAATTTCATCCAAAGCGTCATATATTCTCTGGCAAACATGATTGTGAATTTAAAGTAAAGTCACTTGGAGAGCTATATGATGAAAGGTATAAGAGCAAACCAGGCAGCTTTGACTCATATTCAGTTGATCCATATCAAAGGTGAGGTTGACTGTGAGACGCGAGGCTCTCAGCAGGCCGCCACCACAGTCCCACCCGCGACCATACTCTGTGGACGAGACCAACCATCACCTTACCAATAATACACGTCACGTATTGAGCAAGCTACGCCTGGAATTATCATACAAGTTTATCTATAATAGTAGCAATGACAATAACGATAGAAACTGCGTGGAAATACACTGAGGGACCAGCGGAGTACTTACCACCCTTTCCACCAGTGTCGGGGCCACCGGACTGTCCGGCGTGGTCACTGAAGATGTCAACAGCCAGCTGGTTGGTAGCCTTCTTGATCTGGTCGACGACGGTGTCGTTGAGGGGGTCCTTGTTCTTCTCCAACCACCCAGTGAGGTTGTAGGGCACGGTACCGGCGTAATGAACGATGGCAAAGTGGGCCTCAGCGCAGCCTGGCTTGGGGGGCTTGGGCTTGATGAAGTTAGGAGACTTGCCAAGATGGTTAGCCTTCAGCTTCTCCTCGAAGGACTTATCAGTAGCCTTAGGGAACATAGACTCCTCTTCAAGAATGGAGAGGATGCCTAGAGGCTGTGGGATTCCAAGGAGAGGAGTTAGAGCAGGAAGGCCAAGCTTCACTATTAATTCAAGTCAAGCTATTGAAAGAAGGTTAATTTCTATATTTGTAGGCACCAATACATGATTCATTTTAATTAAACATGAGATATTAACATTAAGAAAATGGCGTTGAACTTACCTGGCGTGTTGTAATACTGTCGCTGATAAATATTCATTAATTAGCCAATATTTGAAGGAATACATAAAAATATTCATATACGTGAGCATTTAAAAAGATAGAATTTGATCTACTGGGTTAGAGTGGCATTGGCAACATGCTGAGACTTTATCCAGTAATACGGAATGAAAGATGAAGGCCAGCAAGGGCGTGAGATGTAAGAACTTTCAGTGCCAACCTAGTTGTTTATGCGATTCATGACGTAGTGTGGGAGCTGCCCCCCCTGCAAACACAACTGTAACCACAACACAACCTTATTTTCAAGTTGTAGCAACGAAAAAGAAGCGTTGTGGTTAGGTTGTGTTTGATGGGCAGCGAGTTAGCCGGGAGAGAGGCTGGAGGCGGGGCTGCACAGGGAACAGGAAGCACAGATTAGCATGTTAAGGACGAGACGACGCGAGGAGCTCAGTGGTAATGCCCTAATTGTTTACCTTCTGCTGTGTAGTACAAGTATACACAGATGAGGGGGGCATGGGAGGGCATTACCAGCGAGGCTCTCACAAGAATATATACGTGACAGCACGAGACAACATATAAGGCCTCATACAGTTTTGTTGTAGAGGTTACCTTCTCCAGGAGGTCAATACAAGCCTGGAGGTCAAGGCCAAAGTCTATGAAGGTCCAGTTAATCCCCTCCCGTTTGTACTCCTCTTGCTCCAGGACAAACATGTGATGATTGAAGAACTGTTGCAGTTTCTCGTTTGTGAAATTGATGCATAGTTGTTCAAAACTGTTGAACTGGAGGTGAGGAAACGGGCTATACAGTTATATGAACACATGAAGGAGAACAAAGTTTACACAGGAACAAATAACACCTGCCGTCGTTGGCTTTGTTTGGTCACAAGGTACTACTGAAACTAATAAGATTCACGTTCACAATTGAGTTACATCTACACATTAGGAGACATGGTTTGGGGGTTCAGGAGCGGTGTCTCATCACCTGTTCACCTGTTACCTTCCGGGGAGTCTAAGATGACATGAAAGAAAACAGACTACATACAGGTCCTCCATGTCCTAACAGGGACCTAAAGATGGACGCTGAGATTGGCACTGTCGTTTTACCTTCTCAATAAGTTCAATGCACGCCTGGAGGTCCAGACCAAAGTCAATGAAAGTCCAGTTAATGCCCTCTCGCTTGTACTCTTCTTGCTCGAGGACAAACATGTGGTGGTTGAAGAACTGTTGCAGTTTTTCGTTGGTAAAATTGATGCATAACTGCTCAAAGCCATTAAACTGGAAGGTGGTAACAGATGCATAGAAATTAGGTCAAGCGACACTGTACGAGAGGAAGAATGTGGTGTCAGGCCTCGTCTTAACTGGCCACCGGGATTGGGATGCTGGGAAGAGTATAAGTGTTATTACAAGAATCACATTAATTTGGAGAGAAAGATGTTATAACACTGTTGAGATCCCGAAGGTTTGTGCTTCTCGTCGGACTTTAAGGAGGTGGGTTGGTCCAGGTGATAATGGAGGGAGAGATGGGAGTAACGGATGGAAGGAAGGACACCAAGACAGCATGAGTCTTCTGTGAGATTCATGTTAGAAAGGACATATCCAGTGCGTTGATTTCGGTAAGGAGAGCATGCGTGGGAGGCAAGGTGGGCGGTCGTTACCTTCTCAATCAGCTCAATGCAGGCCTGGAGGTCTAGACCAAAGTCAATGAAAACCCAATTAATGCCCTCTCGTTTGTACTCTTCTTGCTCCAGGACAAACATGTGGTGGTTGAAGAACTGCTGTAGTTTCTCGTTGGTGAAATTGATGCATAACTGCTCGAAGCCATTGAACTAGGAAAGGCGAGACCATACACCAAGATAAGGTTTAATTCACAACACACTGAAGGGTCATAGCGCGGGGGTGATTGGTCCGTCACATCATCAGACCACAAAAGGAAATAAATGACACATAAGAACGGGTTAATACATTGAGAAACTCCTAGCGAGGAAGTACTACAAATCCTGGAAGTAATGTTTTGTGGCAGTCACCCCAAGGTAAATAAAAAAATGAAAAATTAAAAAAAAATCGGACACAGGAAAGTCCTGCCAGTTTGTGGGCAGAGTGGATAGACAGGTGACTGTACTATTCACACTAAAAGTGAGAGTTGCATCGGCAGCTTGAGTGCAGGTGGCGGCTGCATCAACAACCTGAGTGAGAATAGGGACGGGAACACTGCTCTATGACACAATCGACATTTCCCGAAAGTGTTCTTTATTAGGGAAATGGTGTTAGAAGAGGACGGAGATCCTTCGAAAACGAGAATACGCCATGAAATCGTTACCTTCTCGATAAGTTCAATGCAAGCCTGAAGGTCCAGACCAAAGTCAATGAAAACCCAATTAATGCCCTCTCGCTTGTACTCCTCTTGCTCAAGGACAAACATGTGGTGGTTGAAGAACTGCTGAAGTTTCTCGTTGGTGAAATTGATGCAAAGTTGCTCAAAGCCATTGTACTGTTGGGAAGGATTGAGAAGGACTGTCAATATTAAATTTACCGTTTGTAAAGTCCCCGGTGAGGTTGTTCTGCCCGTTTGTCATAGTTGCTTGTAGTGCATATTTTATGAACTGATACTGAACGGAAAACTTGGAGATATCTTTTTTAGCTTTAAAAACAAACAAAAAAAAACATATAAGGTGTTTCTTTAGAACGTATCTCAGAGAAGACGTAAAATACCTTTAGCTGACTCGTGCAAAACGGAAATTCCAGATTTGATACATATACATTGCAGGATAAATTGAGTTAAAGTAGTCTCACACTGAAACAGAACAAACTTGCTTCAAAAGATAAGGCACAAAATAAAATATGTGTTCAAGGGATATAATAAATAGCGGGTTGGGGGGGGGGGGGATGATGGTATCAACACACCAAAGCTGATAACAGCACTCTCCTTGTCTTGGGTGTTCTGCCAAGAAATAATAATTGTGTACAGAGGAAGCATTAAGTTGAGGAAGAAATATCCACCAGTGGGTGTATGGAAGTGTAGGGTGTATGGAAGTGTGGGGTGTATGGGGGAGTGTGGGGTGTATGGGGGAGTGTGGGGTGTATGGGGGAGTGTGGGGTGTATGGGGGAGTGTGGGGTGTATGGGGCAGTGTGGGGTGTATGGGGGAGTGTGGGAATGAATACATAACTGTGGGGAAGGTGAGGAGACCTACAAGGTACCCAGTTATGGGGATCTCTCCTATCTCGCGTGTGTTGAACTGGATGACTGTCTCTGGAATGTTGAACAAAATGACTGTCTCAAGAATGTTGAACAGGATGACTGTGCGTATTATACAGCAATGCTCCCGTGTGCTCGACTAAGATAGTAATTATAAAGGAACTTATCCTACTCTGATGCTGATAATAACTAATCACGAGAAGCTACGAAAATTACCCTTAAGCGTCACAAAATCTAACCTTTAAGGACTTTGTAAAGGGATATTTGTATAACGACACTCAGATCTGTTGAAACAGTGATAGGAATAGAACAAAAGGAAGAATGATAGTGGGGATAGAGGAATGGATATGAACAGTATGCATAGAATAGGATAGAAACTTACACAGTGGGGATAGAAAAGAAGATTGACACAGTGGGAATAATATAAAATGGGGAATGACACAGAATTAGAAAAAGCGTGACCCCAGAGGGGGAATAGGGGTAGAAGGAGCGTACCAGAGTAGGGATAGAAGAGGACAGAAACACAGTGAATGGTGACAGTGGAAGTTCTGTGACACAGCAGGGACACGGGTGGAGGAAGAGCGACAAAGTTGGGCGAAGAGAGTATGATATAACAGGGGGAAGAGTTCTTCAATGGGATGAGAGAGGGCGAAGTGAAAACACGAGGACATGTGTTGACGGGGCAGACAAGGAGGACGAATGAGAGGGATAACGCAGGAGGATGACACGGGCAGGACGGTGAAGACTGGTAGTGTGAGCACCAACACTCGTCCCTCTTGGTCATGATGAACACAACGAAATAAAACTTGTGTATTAGCAGCGGGTGAGTAAACGGGCAGGAGTTAATACCCGAGGCATCCTGCGGCCTGGAAGAGAAGGGCGTGGAGAACACGTGTAAGGGGCGGGGCAGGGGCGGGGGCATGGGTGGGGGCTGGGCCGGGGTAGGGGCGGGGCAGGGGCGGGGACGCAGGGGGTGTGGCAGGGGCAGAGGCTGGGGCAGGGGCTGGGGCATGGGTGGGGGCTGGGCCGGGGTAGGGGCGGGGACGCAGGGGGTGGAGCAGGGGCAGGGGCGGGCTGAGTAAGTGACAGGATGGTGGCAAGGAGGGCGATCCAGACTGTACTGTCGTAAGAGTCTGAGTTAGAGAGCGGGGGGAGCCCTCGTCATGGCTGTGAATGAGGAAGTCAAACCAGGGGTAGTAACTGGGGGGCTGCTAGTGGGAGGTGAGAAGATAAGTCTTTTCCAGTTCTGGAAGATCATATGAGGTGCAGGGGCGGCGTGCGTGATTTGGGGGGTTGGGGGAACAAAAGGGACATTATATTCAGCCTTTGGGGTGTACTAGTACCTCTCAAAAGCGTAATACAAAACTCCAGGTCCATACGAACTCAGGAAAGATACGTGAAGACTTGCCGAGTATTTTCAGTACAGCAGCTGATGCCTATCTGCTCCAAGCCGTAGTTGTGTTTACAATAAAACGGGAGACATTGTCATCACTGGCGGGGGCGGGGCAGAGAATGAGGGCGTCAGAAACATATGGTGTGTGTGTGAGGCGAGGCGAGGCGAGGCCGGCCTGGTCGCCGCACCGGCCTGAGGGGCCACATACACGGTGCGGCTGCGGCCCGACTCTCCACCCTCGCAACACACACAACCTTACATCAACGGATACCGTATCAAAATTTGCTGGAAATCAACATCGTGAATTTATCAAAATATCTTATTTCTTGTATTGAATATATCATGCGTTGAAACTGACTTTCAAAATGTACTTTTTGTATTAAGTGCAGTCAGTGTTCGCCTTATATCACAACAACGGCCAACAATTGGAGTGGTTCAAAACTTACGTCGAAGATCTCGAAGCCGGCAATGTCGAGCACACCGATGAACATGACTCGCTTCTGGCCCGTCTCGAGGGTCACGTTACACTTCTTCACCAGCTGCTTGAAGGTACGATCGTAGATAGCCTTAGCCAGGGCACCAACTGAGTAGTTGACCTGGTCCTTGTTCCTGCCTTGGGTCACGAACTCGTTACCGACCTTGATCTTGGGCTTGGTCAGGTTCTTGTACAGGTCAGCGCCTTCAATGCCCATCAACTTGCCAATAATTTCACCTTCCTGTAAGAGACATTGAAGATGACTTTCTTGCACCTATATTAATCATACTCTGAGAGGAGAGAGAAAGACAGAGTTTAATATAGGGAACATAATGTCAGGTGTAAGAGTAGCGAGAGAAAAGAGTGGTCGTACCTGTGTTCCCTCGGCCTCGGCCTGCTCCTCGCGACCTCTCTGCTTGAACTTGAGCTCACCAAAGTGCATCACGGAGGCGGTCACCTTGTATACATTTTCCTTTTCTTCCTTAGAGAAGCCGAGGACATCGAAGGCGTCCTGTGAAACCGGGCTTTGGTTCAGAATGCAGTACTCAAGTTACGTACAGCAGGTCCATAGACGACCCGCTCGCATTATTTTCAAGGGGGTGTTTTTAAACTGACTTTAAAGTTAACTAGACATGCAAGAATATTTCAGGTATTAACCAGAATATTCTGAAATATTCCAAAAATTGTGATATCCGAGTATAACGCATTAACAAATTACAGCTTCGCCATAATAATTTCCAAAGTTATTCTGTATGATTCAATTTTTATAATCAAGCTAAATAAATGCTAAATAGAGGAATACCTTCACAGTACAGAACCAGATATAAACTTGCCTGCGAAGACCAGCGGCGGAGAAGGTACAGGAGGTTAGACATGGTCGCGCCCCACCAGGGCCGACGATCCCAGGATGTGATTAGTAACCACTGGTCTAGAACCATGCACTACACCAGGGGTAACATTTTGGGGTGTGTGGGGGGGAGGAGACAATATACGAGGAGGGGGAGAGAGAACATGTCAATGATGCACACATGTGAGGAAGAAATGGTTACAGGACTTGCCTTTTCTCGAGGGCACTGAAGGTCTTTATCAAACCTCAACGGTGATGATTACATTACCAATTTCAAGGATAGATGAAATTGTTAATGTAATCATCACAGTTGAGGTCTGATAAAGACATTTTGTGCCCTCTGTAATTCTTTTTTTTTGCACTACCGCTCACAGGATGAGTATGGGGTGCACAATAAACTAGCCGCCTCCGGCGGCAACATTCAATGTTAGGGAGGTAACTTGTGATTAAACGTAAATATCAGTTTGATGCATAAAACACACGCACCTACACACACACACACACACACTCACACACACACACACACACACACACACACACACACACACACACACACACACACACACACACACACACTCTCTCTCTCTCACACACACACACACACTCTCTCACACACACACTCTCTCACACACACACACACACACTCACACACACACACACACACTCACACACACACACACACACACACACACACACACACACACACACACACACACACACACACACACACACACACACACACACACACACACACACACACACTCACACACACTTGGTGGCAGGAGACGTGAAGCTGCCAGGCCTGGCACCTTGAGAGCATCAGTAACACCAAGAGCTGTCATGGGCAGGAAGCTCATACCAGTGTAAACACACATACACAAGCTGAGATAAGCCACAGCCAAGCTTCTTAAGAGCTTTATGCTGGCGCAAGCTTTAGCATATCTGCTAATTTAGCTGCACTGCATGCAGTGCAGCTAAAAAAATGGATATTGTATGAGATAAAATGAGGAAAGTTCGCTCTCGTGTCCAACTGTCATTATAATTCTGGTTCGAGAGCTTCCAGAGCTATGATGGACAAGCTGGACAAAGGGCCTATACGGTTTCCACATTTTGTTCTCGTTCATGCTGTCTTCATTATCTGGGTCAGAGGAAGACCCGCCACTTACGTCAGTGAACTGCATGTCCTCTTTGTCGTCAATGGAGGCCACAGTGACCTTGCCTTGGGACACGATGTGATAGTCGTGGATGTCGTTAGACAAGTAGCACATTGCTAGAAACAATAAGTATTCTTGTCAATATTGTGAACTTTCATTGCTTAATAGGCTTACCCGGATGAGCCTATGTGGAAGATAAACTACTTAGGTTGGTATATGTTAGTAGATGAAGGGGGAGGGGGGGAACAATCACATTGTCCTTTCAGACCCAGTTAGGTTTAGAATTTTGACTATAATAACCTACATTTCTATTTTTGCTGTAGACAAAACTCAGTTTGTCCGGATGCAGAGTTGTTAGATGAAATATAAAACAGGATGAAATAAACTACTAAATTGTTTAGCTATAATTTGGAAGACCTCTAGACTTATATTTCGTATGAAATAAGTTCTAGGGCTTAAAATAAACCTTAACAACAACAAAATTAACGATTTCAGGCAACATAAGGGTGGATCTAAGACGGGGTTAACCCGAGAACAACCCCGTTCTCGGGTTGTTCTAGCGAGGGAGGAACACACACACACTCCGCTACCTTCACCACTTACATCGGTAAACTGCATTTCTTCAGCATCATCAATAGAGGCCACAGTAACTTTACCCTGACTCACAAAGTGGTAGTCATGGATACTATCGGAGAGCAAGCAGATAGCTGCAATGAATGAAGGAACTGTTACCTGAAGAACACTGGGGAGCCACTGTCAGGGACGAGCCAGCCCCCATACTCAGGAACTACACATCAGTCCCCCCCTTACATTCAACAAACTTTTTGATTTACCGTTTAGATTCTACGTTAGGTAGGCATTGTTTTAGAGCTTTGTAGCGTGACGGGTTATATGCTTATATTATTTTGGTTCGTTTTAGTCTGAAATGCCTGAGATTCACTGTACTTTAATGTTAAATGAAGCCCTTCAACTAAAATCTAAAATAGACAACTTTAAGATACGAATATGAATAAGTAAGGTTTGTTAATAGCAGTCACTGAGTTTGTGACACCTTCTCTACCTCTCCGTCTGCAGTAACTTATTAAAACAAGACGTGTTTGCTAAGTACCATTAAATGAAATCTCATAAAAAACAAGATATGAGCCTATAATTATCTTGCCAACAAATTTTTACTCGAAAATAAACAAGTGAACAAATCCACAAGGGCCGCGACGAGGAAATCACGTTAGTGTGATTTCTGTGTTACGCCAAAATAGTTTTCCCTAATCTCTTCCTGCGTCTAGAAAACAAAATAACAAACTGGAGAACCTTACACAAGCCGCCGGCTTCCTGTCCCAGTCGAGGCCCCTAGAGAGATGGTGGCGCTTACATAAATTAAAGTAAATTCAGAGCGAGATTTGCTTCAGAAAAAAATGACTATCAGACACTGCTTTACATAATTACAATGACATTATCTACAAATCTGTAGATCTGCAGATATTAGATATATTTCAAGATAAACTTAAGCGAATTGACATCTTAAACGTAACATCCTACTGAGAATATTATTGTTTGGGATACAGGACATGAGGACATATAGTTGTAACCAGCGACCTCTATATATTAGCTGAAATTAATGAACAGAGAGTCACTAGAGCTTATATCGATGAACTTTGAATTCCTAGATCTTATAACTATGAACTCTGAATTCCTAGAACTTATAACGATGAACTTTGAATTCCTAGATCTTATAACTATGAACTCTGAATTCCTAGAACTTATAACGATGAACTTTGAATTCCTAGAGCCTATAACGCTGAACAGAAAGTCCGTAGAGCTTATAGCGATGAACAGAAAGCCACTAGAGTTCATATCGATAAACAGAAAGCCCCTAGTGAACATGTTATGTTTAATAAAAACATGAAATTTTCACCGAAAATCCACACTTTCCCTTGTGTTAAAATTTCCCTTCAGCTTGCTGAATTGCTTATATGGAACTCTGGAAGTTGTGAGCCTACTACTGAGGTTGACTCACTCGCCCATAACAAAGCATCAGAGCAGTATACATTCACAGTGGTTTTTAACATTCATAAGAAAACATTAAGCTTGTAAGGGTTTATCACCAGTCTACCAAGATGAAGCATTAAGTGTGAGGACAATGTAAGTGAATCACACTCATAACTCTTCCAGATCAGTCACAACTGATGTATTATTAACTAATATTAAACCTAAATGAATGTGAATGATATGTAAGTAAAAATATTTGTAGTCAGATCTTGTCACTCTAAAGTTCTTGTGTCAGTCTCTTAGTTCAAGGTGCAAGGTCCCAAGTAACCGGGTGCAAGGTCCCAGGTAACCGGGTGCAAGGTCCCAAGTAACCGGGTGCAAGGTCCCAGGTAACCGGGTGCAAGGTCCCAGGTAACCGGGTGCAAGGTCTCAGGTAACCGGGTGCAAGGTCCCAGGTAACCGGGTGCAAGGTCCCAGGTAACCGGGTGCAAGGTCCCAGGTAACCGGGTGCAAGGTCGCAGGTAACCGGGTGCAAGGTCCCAAGTAACCGGGTGCAAGGTCCCAGGTAACCGGGTGCAAGGTCCCAAGTAACCGGGTGCAAGGTCCCAAGTAACAAGTTTAGCATCTTCCAGCTGTGTTGCTATGGTCTGTCTTGCGATGGTACACAATGGTCTGTTCTGTAGTTGTTCCTACCGCTGGATAGTCTGTACTGTGGTGGTACAGTTTGGTCTGTACTGTGGTGGTACAGTTTGGTCTGTACTGTGGTGGTACAGTTTGGTCTGTACTGTGGTGGTACAGTTTGGTCTGTACTGTGGTGGTACAGTTTGGGTCTTACTGTGGTGGTACAGTCTGATATGTACTATGGCTGTGCAGACTGGTTTGTACTCTGGTACAAACTAAATACCTGCTGCTGATTGGTCTACGCTATTATGGAGACTGGCCTGTGTACTGTCACTGGGTGTACACATCTCCTTGGTATAGACCAATGGGTGTCTGTCATTAACTTACCTTGGCAAAATAAATATAATTAATGAACATTTACAAGGTAACTGCTTCCTAAAGGGATTTAGACCTTGACTATAATTGGCAGTTGACGCATGTTAAACACAGTCTGTCTTCCTAAGGTTTCCCAACGTCAAGAAATTGTCGTACTAAAGTGTTCTTATCCTAACCTCCCAGAGGACCCAAAACAGAAAACGGGGCAGTGTGTCACTTTTGCGAGCCGATGCCATTTTCTAGTAAGTGAATTTTTTGGCCTTAGATAGAGTATACGTCAAAATGCGACGCTCTGCTAAGAAGACGATTAAATAAGTGAGTGTGCACTTAAGTTAGATACTAAGAGCATAAGCTAGGTACTAAGAGAATTGATCATTAAGGCTGTTCATCGTTTCAGACTTAATGAAAGTCTTACAACAAGTGTTTCATATAATGATTCCTGAACAAAGTGTCATGAGGAGGATGTAAGCATTTAACACTCGCTATGAGGACTCTGGGTTGATGATCCACCAGACTATCTGAGCTGTCAGGGAGCTTCCAGTATTGTGTTGTAAGCTATTACGGAAGAATATAAACAAGACGAGGTCATGTCGGGGTCATTAACTGTTTGTACTGTTCACTGGAAAGTTGATTACATCGACAATGTGTAAACAGACTTGCTTGGTGAGTTTAAGAATGGGTATGTTGAGGGGTGGACAAAGTTCCTCGGTAAGTGTGTGAGGTGTGAATAATCTGAAACCACTGAGATGTGCCTGGTGAGTTTAGGAATGAGTGTGTTGTGGGGTAGACAATGTTCCCCGCAAGTGTGAGGCGTGAGTGTAAACAAAAACGAAACTTGAGATAACTTACACTTCATGTGCTTGATCTGGTCGGACATGATCTGGTAGAACATGTGGTAGGAGCGCTCCAGGGGCTGCTGGGAGATGACACGGGCCTTCTCCAGCAGGTAGGTCTCGATATCAGCGCCGGACAGCTTGCCGCTTGGCCCGAAGTGAATACGGATGAACTTACCCTGTGGGCGAGGCGCGCATGTGGTTACACAGGGGGGGTGAACGTGCTTAAACATTTGCATCTATATTAGAAAAAGAGCGTGAGGGTCATTCAGGACATGAGGAGAGTGGTGGATCTGATTTCCTTACAGGAAAGAAAACTTCAGAATTATTAAACAACTGTGCCTGTCGGACGGAATCATTGGAAAACAAAATACGACTAAAAATAGCTTTAGTGTAAGTTATTGTGAGGAAGGAAGATACTCACGAAGCGAGAGGAGTTGTCATTACGGACAGTCTTGGCGTTACCGAAGGCTTCCAGGACGGGGTTGGTCTGCACGATCTGATCTTCCAGGTTCTGTGAGGGAGTGGTGGGAGGCGTTAGTGTCTGAGTCACGCTTATCCTGGCGAGAGGTTCCTTGTCAACAATTACAAAATGAGCGCACGAAGTAGAGTTGCAACTGTGCATAAAGAAAATACTTCTGTCATCAATAACATGATTATATTTTATCATTAGAATTAACTTGCGAGACTTCAGAATTTAATCTGAGATGTATATTACATCAGCCATTCCAAGGAGATGGTAAAGAAGCAAGAAACTGTAGGCCAACATACGGAAGTTTGTAGCACAAATTAGCGGACGGGGTTAAGACAGGAGGCAAGACAGGCGTTGGAGTGCCAGGGTGGCATCACTGCTGGCGTTCAGAGAACCATCTCACGGATTGGAAGGGTGGGACAGTGAGTACCGTTTTAATACTGATGGATAACAAACTTGCACATTTCAGTAATACAATATCAAGACTACAACTTCTGGTGTCCCATTAGAAGTTCAAGGGTGTCTTAAACTGAAAGAACAAATACATGTGGTCCCCCAGCCTCATGTCATATAGAGAGGCTTCTTGTTCTTCCAGTACACGGAAAAGTCCCCGAGGCTAGGTATGGACGGCCTCTCGTCTTGATACATTACCTGCTTCTTCTCTTCTGGCTTCTTCTTGGTGGAAGCGCCGACATTAGCGAAGTAGGCAATAACCTTCTTTGTGTTCTCAGTCTTGCCAGCACCAGACTCACCACTGCGTTAGAGAACATATTTACATAGTTAGCGGAAGCTGAAGAGGGAAATGAAGCGAGAGTAACGTTATGGAACAAGGTAGAACCAGCAGGCAGGGTTCCAGGGTCACACAGGCACACGGGAAGCGGATCTCACCATAACCTGGTGCAAGCAGTCACAGGTCAGCGCCGTCAGCAAGTGGTGTGCTTGGTGAGGGCACCAGACTCTTGGTCAGTATAGCGTAGAAGCTAATGTTGGAAACACAGTATATACTGGGTACACGGTGAGCAGAGAAGTTTACAATATTTGGAGCGTAGCGAGTTTAAACAAAGCCAGTTTAGCTAGTACGGTAGTTGAATGAAGTTAATGTTGGCTTAGCGTTAGTAATTGAGTATGGACTGAGCCGTGTTTGAAGGAAGCCTTAAGGAGCAGCTCTGGTAAAGGAGCCCGAGGCACAGTAGAGAGCATTATTACCGTGAGAGGGACGCCACAAGGAAACTTACTCCACCACCAGAGAACTTGATTTCCTGCTTCTTCGACTCAAATTTATCAGTTCTCCTGGCGATGTTGGCAAAATACTGGATAACTTTCTTGGTGTTCTCGGTCTTGCCGGCCCCTGACTCGCCACTAATCAGGAGAGTCAAAGGAAGGAGGAAGAGGTAAGATGGCGGAGGTTACTGATGACGCAGAGGTGGAGGCCAGGGCGAGGCAGAGGGACCCAAACTCTCGTCCTACAGGAGGTCCACGCCACCCTGCCTCGCCCCTCGCCACACACACACACACACACACACACACACACACACACGAAGAAGTACAACATTTATGCCTTAATATATAACATTGCCGGTGGAAGTTAACATGTCGGTTTTGGGGTTTTAGAATTAGGATAAATGGCCTCAAATAAACTGTAACGATAATAATAAGGTAAACACTGATTAATTTACAAGCTTTGTGCAAGGCAATTTTTTAAAATGCAAACCATCAGATCTCAAAAAATTTTCAGGCATCAGAAAAGATATGGAATTAGTCTTATGAATTCCATAAAAAAAACCTATACTGGAAAAATGTCCTGCAGATTCCAGATACAAAATTATTTTCGCCAGGGATATAGACTGTATGGGAAAGATGCACTCATAAATCACAATATAGCACGTCGCATTAAGAATAACAGGGAATTATCTCATTATAATCAAATATAAAACAACATTCGCTAATCCGTCTGTCTTTCAGAAGGAAGATATTACAGATAATAGTAAGTGCAAGAACAGACTGAGTGTGAAGACGTTATGAGAGAAGGGGGCGAGACCTCCGGAGAGGCTCACTGACTCACGTGATCAACATGGACTGGTTCTCGTGATCTGGAAGACAGAAAACAGTAACTGAGTTGCATATCCACCTTTACCTGCGGGGTGGGGGGTGTCGTACACGTACACACCCGTGCTCTCGTGACGGTGTCTGAGAGCAAGGACCAACCCTCAGGCACCGGCCACTACTGACCACAACACCTCTAAACTAACAGTTCTCCATTGTGGATTTGCTTGCAAATAAATTATTATTTTCTCGTGCTATCGGTAGGAGGCTGGCAGCGTGTAGATGATATTATTATATGTGAGAGTGTCCTGCTTCACTGCTTGGCCATATACGGTATGCTGCTGAGCCGGTGCCAGTGAGGGGGAGGAGGGGGGGGGGGGTTCTGTGCCAGTGAAGCATGTGCCAACTGACACTAAAATAGCTTCCTGGCTGGCACCACTCTCACGCCCACCCCCACCCCCCCATCCTCTTTGCCCTCTTCCCCTTTCTGGGCGACCCTATCCCCCTCCCCCTCCACTAATAATGGAAGCCATATTTCAGTCTTTATCTCCACATTTGGACAAAATTGATTTAAATATGCACTATTGTATATTTAATCACTATTGTATATTTAATTAATCAAAGAGATGAATTGTATTGTAAATTATCTGCCTTTGGGACTACTCTTTCACTGGTGCCCTTGATCAACCAGATTCGTGTTGACTAGACTTAAACTTTACTTCATGTTTCATGAACATAAATCGTTATATAACTATGTTACTGTATATTTGATTAATGCGTATGGAGATGAATCATGTGACAGTGACTCATCCATGTATATGATGAATCATGTGATACAATGTGATATTATGAATGCATGTGTGAGTCATATGGCATGAGTCATGTGAAAGTGACTCATCCGAGCGTATGATGAGGCATGTCACAGTGACTCATCTACGTGAATAGATGAGTCATGTGAGAGCGACTCATCCATGTGTGTGTGAATGTCATGTGGTAGCGACCTATTCATGTGAGTGATGAGTCCAACTCATCCTCCTGAAATGATAACACTTTTTGAAACTAAGTGAACCATCGTACCAATATGCCGTTATGGAACCCAAGTAAGCCACTTTTTGTATTTTTTTTTGTCCGCAAAAAAATAAAGCTAAAACCAAACTTAAATATTCCTAGGCCTACTATAGCATATATATGTACTATATTAAGCCTCAGATTGCGTCAATTAGGCCTAAGATGGTTAGGTTTTATTAACAACATAAATAATAAAAAATTTCGGTTTATCCAAATTCAGTAAACCAAAAGTCTACTTTCTGGTAGTCCATCAGATAGTAGACTTTTAGTCTACTATTGACCATATCGTTACTATAAGTGCTTTTATTTTAGAGGCATGGATGGATGAGTTATGTAACAGTGAGTCAGCCATGTGGATGGATGAATCATGTAACAGTGAGTCAGCCGTGTGGATGGATGAGTTATGTAACAGTGAGTCAGCCATGTGGATGGATGAATCATGTAACAGTGAGTCAGCCGTGTGGATGAATGAGTCGTGTAAGAGTAACGCGTACACATGTATGGATGAGTTTTATTACATAACACGCTGTTCAACATGCTGAAATGTAGAGGACTTACTTTGCAACATATCCATGTAGGCACCGTCAGAGATGGCGAAGATGTGGGGCGGCACCTCATTACGCCTCTTGCCCTGGTAGATCTTGACGACGCGGTTGGTGTAGATGGGGTAGCGCTTGTAGGGGTTGATGGCGACGCAGAAGAGTCCGGAGTAGGTGTAGATGAGCTTGGTGACGTAGCGACACTTCAGATTGTACAGGACGGAGGCGTCGTTAAGGTAGGTCAAGTTGGACATGTCCTCGCACTTCTCGAACTTTGGAGGGTTGACCTGGTTCACGAGGTCCTTCTTGAAGTTCTTGGTCTCGCCGCCGGACAGGCCAACAGTGACCAGATCACCCTTGGTGCCCTGGATTTCGCCGAGGACGAAACCCTCCTTCTCGCAGGGAACCCAGCAGGCCTTCTTGGCATCGTAAGGTTTGGTCTGGTCGATGCGCTTCTGTTCCAGGGAGACGTACAGGTATTCGGTGGGGTCGGGGTCGGGCCCGGTGCTCTTCATAACAATATGGCCAGGCATGGTGAAGGTTGCTGCTTGGAAGCAGTCGAAGTTAAGTCAGACACACTGTACGGCAGAACAGCCCTGGAACTTTCCTGCAACAGAACACAAGTCATGAGCACCTTCACGATACAATCAGCATGATATATTCCTCCCAGCTAGTCACTGTATGGAGGGGCGGTATTTATATTGTACAAAACACATGGGGAAGATTTGTTTATTACTGTGAAATTGTCTTAACATGATCCCCTGTGGCTCACGGAGTCTTAACATGCACCCGTGTGGCTCTCTGAGCCTTAACATAATCTCTTCTAGCTCTCGAAGCCTTAACATGATATCGTGTGACTCTCAGAGTCTTAACATAGTCCTCTGTGACTCTCGGAGCCTTAACATGATCTCTTGTGGCTCTTGAAGCCTTACCATGATATCGTGTGACTCTCAGAGCCTTAACATAGTCCCCTGTGACTCTCGGAGCCTTGACATGATATACTGTGGCTCTCAGAGCCGTAGCATAGCTCCCTGTTGCTCACTAAGCCTTATCAAAGTCCCGTATGGCTCTCAGATTCTTATCATATAGTCTCCTGTGACTCTCAAAACGTTAACAGAATCCCTTGTGCCTGTCAGAGCCACAGAATCCCCTGTAGCTCTCAAGGGACTTAGCATAGTACCCCAGTAAGAGATTGGCTATATATTACAACGCCAGGCTTCACACCATCAGCAAAAGATCGGGAAATCAAAATCATCTAAGCTGAAGTAGAGGCATGAACATACTAACACATACTGAACCCTCAGCCTGTATTTACTAACATATATTAAATCTCAACATGTATTTACTGACACATTAAACCCCCAACAAGTAGCAACAACCAACACATTGGATGATCACTCTTCTTAACTTTACGAGAGAAGAAATGTTAATCTTGTATGTGAATTGTTTGTACAGTCGGTTCAAAACCCACTGGTCCTGGGTTCGAATCCCGGGCAAAGCAAGATGCTTGGGTACATTTCCTTACATTAAATCCCCAGGAGTTAATAAACTGTTATGGGTTGCCTCCTGATAAATGGCTAGTCCTTGCCCAAGGGGCGCTTCGGTAGGTCTAACGGGCTTCCTGTCCCCGAAAACAAAAAAGCCAACAAGAAATACCATGATATTTTATTCGCGTTAGTTAGCTATGACTCAGCCATATATTAACATGATCAAATAACCGTATATTAAAAGAAATAATGATAAAATCGAGATATTTCAAAATTCGCAAATTCCAAATAGAGACATTTGATGAACACTGAGCGTATCAATGAACAATAAAACAATGAGAAAGTTTGCAACATACGAGAAGGTTCAGTGCACCTCCTTGATCACGTCACACGACACTCCTGCTCACCCACCACACCACGACTGACGAGGGGGAGCTGGGCGTGGCTCTCATATACCCAGCCCCAGGAGGGGCATAGGGGCGAACGTGATGGGCACGAGGTGGGGGTGATGGGTGGGGTTGGGTGGTGGGTGGCCAGACCGCACTTGGCAAGCCTCCCCCCCCCTCCCATTCCCTTCCCGGCAACCTGACACCTCACCTACGCTATAAATACATGTGGGCAGGTGTTGGGACTACCACCCTTCTGCTGATGGCAGTCACGTCATGTATAGTCCTACTGTGGGTCGGGGCGCGCCACGTATATATCTATTGTTGGTCGGGACACGCCTCGTAGGTCTGAGGTTGATCAGGAAATGCCACGTATAGACTTACTGATGGTCGGGGATTCTTATATGGGTCTACTATTGGTCAGGGGACTAGCTGCCGCGTAGACCTAACTATTGGTCGGGTCGTGGTACATGGAACTACTGTTGGTCAGTGCGAGCACATGGACCCGCCCCGTCTACTGTTGGTCGGGGCGTTCCACGTAGACCTACTGTTGGTCGGGGAGTGGCATGTAGTTCCATTATTGGTCGGCCGTGCCACTTGGAACTACTGTTAATTGAGGCGTGTCATATGGACTTACTGTTCGACGGGGTGTTCCATATGGACCTATAGTTAGTCGGTGTGTGCCACACGGACTTACGGTTGGTCGGGACGTGCCAGATAGACCCACTCTTGGTCGGCGTGTGCTACATAAAGTTACTTAGTCGGGGCGTACCACGTCCAACTGCTGGTGGTAGGAGTTTCACGTTTAACCCCATAAATGGTTTTATTTAATAAGTTCACTATAGGAGCAGAGTTAGTTTACATAGGAAATTGTCTCGCCCATTCACATTATTGATTCATGAATATACATAATATATAAGGAATATTCTCTCTGATTTATTTTTCGTTGTCAATAAACCTGATAACTTAATTAGATATTGGGTTTATTTCTTGACTTATGAAAGCGAGAGTGGAGAGCACTCTGAATATTACTTATTTAAGATTCAGACTTGATAGTTAATTTTATACATTACATGGTTGTATCTTCTTAACTGTTAACGTTGATTATAACACTGTTGAACAGAAATAAGTTCCATTCCTTGTCTGGTAAACCTACGAACGGATGGTGGCAGCTCTACTTCTATCTACTAAAACTCTTTCTACTCATTATACTCTTATTCTACCCCCTCTGTCTCTCTCTTAGTCTACCCTTCATCCCATCTTCCATCTCTGCTCTACACTTTCCATGCAGGGGTCGATGTAGACCTCCATTTCACCTCACTATCCTCCCCCCACACCCCACCTCACTGACACCTCCAATTCTCTGACGACCTGTTCACTTGAGATAGTTCAGCAAGTCCCGCCTCTGTCTGGTGACTTGGTGAACAGGATGACAGTGGCATGCCCGTATATTCACTCACAGGATGAGTGATGTAGCTAAATACTGTCACCATAGCGTTATGTTTACTCTGAGAATGAGTGCTACAGAGTACATGACTTCCACAAAGTGAATGATTGCCGCAGAGTGCAAGACTGCCATAAAGTGCATGACGGACATAAAGTGCATGACTGCCACAGAGTGCATGACTGCCATAAAGTGCATGAGTGCCACAGAGTGCATGGCTGCCGCAGCGTGCAAGACTGACACCGAGTGCATGACTGTCACGGAGTGCATGACTGCCACGGAGTGCATGACTGCCAGAGTGCATGACTGCCATAAAGTGCATGACTGCCACAGAGTGCATGAATGATATAAAGTGCATGACTGCTATAAAGTGCATGACTGCCACAGAGTGCATGACTGCCACAGAGTGCATGACTGCCACAGAGTGCATGACTGCAACAGAGTGCATGACTGTCACAGAGTGCATGACTGTCACAGAGTGCGTGACTGCCATAAAGTGCATGACTGTCACAGAGCTCATGACTGCCACAGAGTGCAAGACTACCGCGAAGTGCATGACTGCCGCAGAGTGCATGAGTGCCATAGAGAGCATGACTGTCACAGAGTGCACGACTGCCATTAAGTGCATGAGTGGCACAAAGTGTATGACTGCCACAGAGTGCATGAATGATATAAAGTGCATGACTGCTATAAAGTGCATGACTGCCACAGAGTGCATGACTGCCACAGAGTGCATGACTGCAACAGAGTGCATGACTGTCACAGAGTGCATGACTGTCACAGAGTGCGTGACTGCCATAAAGTGCATGACTGTCACAGAGCTCATGACTGCCACAGAGTGCAAGACTACCGCGAAGTGCATGACTGCCGCAGAGTGCATGAGTGCCATAGAGAGCATGAGTGCCACAGAGTGCATGAGTGCCACACAGAGTGCATGACTGCCATTAAGTGCTTAAATGCCACAGAGTGCATGAGTGCCTCAAAGTGCACGACTGCCATAAAGTGCATGAGTGCTACAGAGTGCATGACTGTCACAGAGTGCACGACTGCCATTAAGTGCATGAGTGGCACAAAGTGTATGACTGCCACAGAGTGCATGACTGCCACAGAGTGCATGACTGCCACAGAGTGCATGAGTTCCACAGAGTGCATGACTGCCATTAAGTGCATGACTGCCACAGAGTGCACGATTGGCAAAAAGTGCATGACTGCCATTAAGTGCATAAGTGCCACAAAGTTCATAACTGCCTCAGAGTGCATGACTGCCTCAGAGTGCATGACTGCCACAGAGTGCATGCGTGCCTCAGCGTGCATGACTGCCACAGAGTGCATGACTAACACAGAGTGCATGACTGCCTCAGAGTGCATGACTGCCACAGAGTGCATGAGTGCCACAGAGAGCATGAATGCCACAGAGTGCATGACTGCCACAGAGTGCATGACTGACACAGAGTGCATGACCGACACAGAGTGCATGACCGACACAGAGTGCATGACTGCCACAAAGTGCATGACTGCTACAGAGAGCATGACTGCCACAGAGAGCATGACTGACACAGAGTGCATGACTGACACAGAGAGCATGACTGCCACAGAGAGCATGACTGCCACAGAGTGCATGACTGACACAGAGAGCATGACTGACACAGAGTGCATGACTGACACAGAGTGCATGAATGATATAAAGTGCATGACTGCTATAAAGTGCATGACTGCTATAAAGTGCATGAGTGCCAAAGAGTGCATGACTGCCACAGAGAGCATGACTGCCACAGAGTGCATGACTGACACAGAGTGCATGACTGACACAGAGTGCATGACTGACACAGTGCATGACTGCCACAGAGAGCATGACTGACACAGAGTGCATGACTGACACAGAGTGCATGACTGACACAGAGTGCATGAATGATACAAAGTGCATGACTGCTATAAAGTGCATGAGTGCCAAAGAGTGCATGACTGCCACAGAGTGCATGACTGACACAGAGTGCATGACTGACACAGAGTGCATGACTGACACAGAGTGCATGACTGACACAGAGTGCATGACTGCCACAGAGAGCATGACTGCCACAGAGTGCATGACTGACACAGAGAGCGTGACTGACGCAGAGAGCGTGACTGACACAGAGTGCATGACTGACACAGAGAGTATGACTGACACAGAGTGCATGATTGACACAGAGTGCATGACTGACACAGAGTGCATGACTGACACAGAGTGCATGACTGACACAGAGTGCATGACTGACACAGAGAGCATGAATGCCACAGAGTGCATGACTGCCACAGAGTGCATGACTGACACAGAGTGCATGACTGACACAGAGTGCATGACTGACACAGAGAGCATGAATGCCACAGTGCATGACTGCCATAGAGTGCATGACTGACACAGAGTGCATGAATGCCACAGAGTGCATGACTGTCACAGAGTGCATGACTGCCACAGAGTGCATGAGTGCCACAGAGTACATGACTGACACAGAGAGCATGAGTGCCACAGAGTTCATGAGTGCCACAGAGTGCATGACTGCCACAGAGTGCATGCGTGCCACAGAGTGCATGACTGCCAGAGTGCATGACTGCCACAGAGTGCATGACTGCCACAGAGTGCATGACTGCCACAGAGTGCATGAGTGCCTCAGAGTGCATGACTGCAACAGAGTGAATGAGTGCCTCAGAGTGCATGACTGCCACAGAGTGCATGACTGCCTCAGAGTGCATGATGGCCACAGAGTGCATGACTGCCTCAGAGTGCATGATTGCCACAGAGTGCATGACTGCCTCAGAGTGCATGATTGCCACAGAGTGCATGACTGCAACAGAGTGAATGAGTGCCACAGAGTGCATGACTGCCACAGAGTGCATGACTGCCACAGAGTGCATGAGTGCATGACTGCCACAGAGTGCATGACTGCCACAGAGAGCATGACTGCCACAGAGTGCATGAGTGCCACAGAGTGCATGACTGCCTCAGAGTGCATGACTACCACTGAGTGCATGACTGCCTAAGAGTGCACGACTGCCTAAGAGTGCATGATTGCCACAGTGCATGACTGCTTCAGAGTGTATGACTGCCACAGAGTGAACTGGTTAACGTGCCAGTTATATCACTAACTTCTTGCAGTGAATTACTGTAATAATTATTTCACATATGTTATTTCTAGGACACGTACACTGGGAGGTGACTGCTCTAGGACACGCACACTGGGAGGTGGCTGCTCTAGGACACGTACACTAGGAGGTGACTGCTCTAGGACACGCACATTAGGAGGTGGCTGCTCTAGGACACGCACTCTGGGAGGTGGCTGCTCTAGGACACGCACACTGGGAGGTGACTGCTCTAGGACACGCACACTGGGAGGTGGCTGCTCTAGGACACGTACACTGGGAGGTGGCTGCTCTAGGACACGTACACTGGGAGGTGGCTGCTCTAGGACACGTACACTGGGAGGTGGCTGCTCTAGGACACGCACACTGGGAGGTGGCTGCTCTAGGACACGCACACTGGGAGGTGACTGCTCTAGGACACGCACACTGGGAGGTGGCTGCTCTAGGACACGTACACTGGGAGGTGGCTGCTCTAGGACACGCACACTGGGAGATGACTGCTCTAGGACACGCACACTGGGAGGTGGCTGCTCAAGGACACGCACACTGGGAGGTGACTGCTCTAGGACACGCACACTGGGAGGTGGCTGCTCTAGGACACGTACACTGGGAGGTGGCTGCTCTAGGACACGTACACTTGGAGGTGACTGCTCTAGGACACGCACACTAGGAGGTGGCTGCTCTAGGACACGCACACTGGGAGGTGGCTGCTCTAGGACACGCACACTGGGAGGTGGCTGCTCTAGGACACGTACACTGGGAGGTGGCTGCTCTAGGACACGCACACTGGGAGGTGGCTGCTCTAGGACACGCACACTGGGAGGTGGCTGCTCTAGGACACGCACACTGGGAGGTGGCTGCTCTAGGACACGTACACTGGGAGGTGGCTGCTCTAGGACACGCACACTAGAAGGTGACTGCTCTAGGACACGCACACTGGGAGGTGGCTGCTCTAGGACACGTACACTGGGAGGTGGCTGCTCTAGGACACGCACACTGGGAGGTGGCTGCTCTAGGACACGTACACTGGGAGGTGGCTGCTCTAGGACACGTACACTGGGAGGTGGCTGCTCTAGGACACGCACACTGGGAGGTGGCTGCTCTAGGACACGCACACTAGGAGGTGGCTGCTCTAGGACACGTACACTGGGAGGTGGCTGCTCTAGGACACGAACACTAGGAGGTGGCTGCTCTAGGACACGCACACTGGGAGGTGGCTGCTCTAGGACACGCACACTGGGAGGTGGCTGCTCTAGGACACGCACACTGGGAGATGGCTGCTCTAGGACACGCACACTGGGAGATGGCTGCTCTAGGACACGCACACGACACGCACCACCGAACAATCCTCACAAACAAAGGAGTGTTGCTCACCACGGATCGAAAGCTGTTCTGTAGAGACGAAGGTCTGGTCAGTATATATGTACCCGTGCAATATGATCCCCCGGGCTCGTGCTCATCACTCTCGCAACCATTGGCTGACGACTCGGGCTTAGCCCCGTTACTGTATCCGGCAACCAATCATCGAAGAGCTCTGAAAGCTGTTTCTTATGGGCATCTTAGGCACTAGTGACGTAAGCCTCCCCCCCCCCCCTCCCCTGCCTTTTTAGGGTGATAGTCGGGGGCCGAAGCCAAGATTCTCCCACCGAAGAGGACCCAGGCTGCGCTAAACGGGACCGCCGGCACATACAAGACTATTCACTTAACCTGGTAAAATCAAGTGGATGTCCCCGTTTTCTGTCTGTCAGGTCGCCCTCGCCCATTACTAAAGAGGCCCCCATGTTGGAGGGGTATCGCTGCTGAGAGTGCTGGCAGCCCTCAACACGGTGCTGAGGCAGGAAGTATTGGCAGCCCTCAACACGGGTGCTGAGGCAGGAGGGGGTGGGGGAGGGATTCTGAGAACCCTCACCACGAGTGCTGAGGTATGTCCCATATGTGTAACTTTCTTTCCTTAGACTTAGAATGTTGAGAGTGGTGATGTACAAGGAGGTGATGGAGCAGGTACTGGTGGTCACGCAACACCAGGAGATGCCCCCATAACTACCCCAGGGATGTACCACCGCCACACCACACCAGTTGCTTCAGTTGTGTATTCTTCGACTCGTTCTTTGGGAGAGTGTGTTGCGTTCCGCCTAGGTTTTGACTGTTATGCGCAGTAGCATCAGCAACATCTTGTGTAGACTTAGAGAGGTAAACTTACAAATCTGAAAGTATTTCGCGATAGGAATGATACTTACGAAGTGAAGACGAAGGTAATGTCATTATCTTTTTATTTTTGAGTATATTGTACCTGGTAGCTAGATAAAGCACTCGACCTACTATGCAAGGCCTGATTTGCCTAATAAGCCAAGTTTTCCTGAATTTATATATTTTTCTAATTTGTTTCTTATGAAATGATAAAGCTATCCATTTCATTATGCATGAGTTCATTTTTTTTAATTTGAGTTAAAACTAATGTAGATACATGACTGAACCTAACCTAACCTATCTTAACCTAGCCTAAACTAACAAAACTAAGTCAATAATTTATGTTTTTAATATAATATAATAATAATATTTCATATAAACCAATGGGAAATTTTTTTTTAAATTATAAAAATCCTCAGCCTTTTAGGCAAATCGGGCCGTGCATTTGCGTTCAAAAAACTTCGGCCTATTAGGCAAATCGGGCCGAGAAGTGCGTTCTGGCTACTTGGTGCGACATACATACATATATATACATATGACAATGTCAGACCACGGAAGAGAATTGAAACAGGAATTTCCTTAAGTACTGTCGTATATTAATACATCTTCAGAAGGAGTGTTCAGAAGGACTCCTGAAGATGTATTAATATACGAAAGTACTTAAGGAAATTCCTGTTTCAATTTTCCTCAGTGGTCTGACACTGTCACATTTTTAATCACGTGTTTATTTTCGTGATTTACACACACACACACACACACACATACACACACACACACACACATACACACACACACACACACACACAGGCCTCTAGGGGGCCTCGTAGCCTGGTGGATAGCGCGCAGGATTCGTAATTCTGTGGCGCGGGTTCGATTCCCGCACGAGGCAGAAACAAATGGGCAAAGTTTCTTTCACCCTGAATGCCCCTGTTACCTAGCAGTAAATAGGTACCTGGGAGTTAGTCAGCTGTCACGGGCTGCTTCCTGGGGTGTGTGTGTGTGTGTGTGGTGTGGGAAAAAAAAAATAGTAGTTAGTAAACAGTTGATTGACAGTTGAGAGGCGGGCCGAAAGAGCAAAGCTCAACCCCCGTAAAAACACAACTAGTAAACACACACACTCACACACACACACACACATAATATATATATATATATATATATATATATATATATATATATATATATATATATATATATATATATATATATATATATATATATATATATATATATATATAATTGTTATTTTACTGTTATTTTCATATATATATGTATGTATGTATGTATGTATGTATGTATGTATGTATGTATGTATGTATGTATCTATGTATGTATGTATCTATGTATGTATGTATCTATGTATGTATGTATCAAATAGTTGCATGCTCGAAGTCAAATTCACTTTCAAGGCACTTTGTAGGCCTGGCCAATGACGAGGCCTACAGGCTGTACTTATACTGGCAAGTCAATTGTACAATCCATATGAAATAATCTACCATTCCCCATACATTATCAAATAATCTCCCGACCCCAAAAATTATACACAAAATTATCATTTCCCAACAACAGTAGTAGGGTGTAAGCGCTACAGGGGAATTTTTTTTTCTGGGAGAAAATTCCCCTGTAGCGCTTCGGGGTTTCAGGTGAATTTGTAAATTCCCCTGTAGCGCTTTAGGGTTTTCAGGAGAATTTGGGGATTCACAGATTTGGAATTAGGGAATTCTTATAATGAAAAATAATGTCATACGAGTTTGTTAAAGTTCTTATGAGAAAAATAATTTTCGAGACATAGAAGTTTGTTAAGGCCTTATGGGACAAATTCAAGTAACGTATGTAGCGCTTTAGGGTTTCCAGGAGAACTCTACGGACATGTTTTACATGTTTTCAACTTACAAAATCGTCTATGTAAGCCATAGTTTTCATGTAAATTTAGAAAATCACCTGTGTAAGTCATCGTTTTCAGGGTTTCGTACATCACACCCCCCTCCCTCCCCCCTTACCTCGCAATCTGTCGCGTCACCTTTATTTACTTTACGGCCGGCCAGCCAGACATCGCATACAGGGTACCTCTTATCTTATCTTATCCATAATATCTGGACCGTCCCTCCTCTCTCTCTCTCTCTCCTTTCATTCAGTTCAACTATTTTCCAACATCGTATGTTTGCTCCTTTTCATTAAGCAAGTCAGTTTTACACAAATAAATCATGTTAGTAAGCATGTTCTAGCTCACGTTCCCCCCACCTTAGTCCCCTGTCGTATAATGAATACTATCATTCCAATCCCTCTAAAATTTAAAAATAATCATATTTCAAATGTAGTTCAATACAGTAATTTAGTTACCAAGCTCCAGCGCTTGTCCTCCGCCTTAGCTCTCTCTCGTATCTTCGTTAGTATCAGTCCAATTTCCCTGAAATTTTCACCCTCTGTATTTCAGGCACCATAAATAAGATCAAAACAGTTACCAAGCTCCAGCGCTTGTCCTCCGCCTTAGCTCTCTCTCGTATCTTCGTTAGTATCAGTCCAATTTCCCTGAAATTTTCACCCTCTGTATTTCAGGCACCATAAATAAGATCAAAACAGTTACCAAGCTCCAGCGCTTGTCCTCCGCCTTAGCTCTCTCTCGTATCTTCGTTAGTATCAGTCCAATTTCCCTGAAATTTTCACCCTCTGTATTTCAGGCACCATAAATAAGATCAAAACAGTTACCAAGCTCCAGCTCTCGTCCCCGCCTTAGTTCTCCTTCATATCTTTGTAAATAACCCATCAATTTCCCTAAAATTAAAAGCAGACATACTTCAAAGTTAGTAAATAAGATCAAGTCAGTTACTGAGCTCCAGCTCTCGTCCCCCACCCTCTTCCACCCTCAAGTCTTTGTAAATAAACCATCAATTTCCCCGAAATTTTTTACCCTCTGTATTTCAGACATAGTAAATATGAAGTAAACAATTATAAAACTCTAGCTCTTGTCCTCTGTCCAAGCTCACTTTTGTAAATTCATTACTCTCAGTCCAAATCACCCAACTACATTTTCAGACATAGTAAATAAAAACCAGTTCAGTTATCAAGTTTCAACTCTTGTGCCCCAGCTTAGTTCATTTTGTACAAGTTCTTTATTTCCAACTATATCACATGAGATTTAAGATCACCTTATTTTCTAACGTAGTAAAATTAATCAGGGCATTAACCAAGCTCCATTCCCTCAGCCTTAGATCATCAGACATAAATATTTTCGATCAAGTCCGTCTCCAGCTTAACTCTTACCCTTTCCCTCCCTTACCTTCTCATCCCCAACTTATCCAAACCTTCAATAATCGTACTGTATTTGCATATTTTCTCTATATTCACTGTGTTCTTCGTATTCTCATCCGTGTTCACTCCATGTTCTTCAAATGTTCACAGTCCCATTCAGTTCATATTTTCACAAGTATCTCCATTTTTTATGTAATCTTTCTCTTAGTCTCATTATGTTCTCTACAAATTCTAGTCATATTTTCTATGTTTTCATATTCATCACATGTTCTCTTTACAACTTTTATACTCAATATTCATGCTAACTTCCATATTTTGTGTTCTTTGTCAATATTCATGTTCCTCTACAAGTTCATGTTCCTCACAAGATCACTTCGTTTTTTCACCTTCACTTACATGTTTTCTACATTCTTTGTCATATTCTCCATGTTCTTCACAAGTCCATTGTTCATTCTTCGTAATCCCTATTCTCCTTATCATGTTTTCATGTTCTCTGTAAGTTCATATTCCCAGCATGTTCACTATATTCATCAACTTTTCTTACATGTGTTCTTTGCCATGTTCCCCATATGTTCTCTGGGTTTTCCCCTTACATGTTATTTAACGTTCCTTAACTAAAAAAATCTTTCGCCAATCAACTAAAACATAGTCACTTTCGTCATTTCTCAACTAAACCTATTATCCAGTCAACTAAAAATAGTCAGAAATAGCCTCGTTCAACACTATTCTTAACTAAAACAACCTTTCTCTTAGCTAAAAATTGTCAAAGGAAACTTTTTCAGCACTTTCTTAACAGGCGCTATGTTTCATCAAGAAAAATTGTCAAAGGAAACTTTCCAAAACTGTTCATAACTAGCTTTTATCCATCGTCAATCAACTAAAAATAATAACTTTCATCATTTCTTAACTAAACATATTCCCCATTCATCAGAAAATAACCGTGTTCATCATGTTTCATTGTCATTTCTTAACTAAAATTATCTGCCAATCATCAGAAAAAGTCATGTTCACCATGTTTAAGCTTTTGCTCAACTAAAAGTATTCATCGGTCAACTAAAAATAGTTACTTCATCATGTTTCCTTGTCATTTCTTAACTGAAATATCACTTCTCTCATCTGAAAATAGTCAGGATTAACCTCATTCAACACCGTTCTTAACTAAAACAGCCTTTCGCTTAGCTAAAAATTGTCAAAGGATTCTTTTCAACACAGTTCATAACTAACTTTATCCATCGTCAAGTAAGAAAATATAGTCAAAGATATCTATCATCGTCGTTCTTAACTGACATTTATACTTTGTGGAGCACTAAAATAGTCAAATGTAACTTTTTCAACACTTTCGTAA